AGTAGGAATGAGATGATAAGATGTCGTGCAGCCGCAAATGCGGCCACGCGCTTCCGGGAGCTGGGTTTTATAGTCTCTGAATCTTGGCCGGTGATGGGATTACACGGCGCCAGGGGGCCAGTTGGTGGATGTGAACCCCGTCTACTGGAATTTGGAGGATCTGGGTGGAGGATGCTCAGCCCCAATCCGAGTAGGCTTGGAGATCTCGGCCCCGGAACCCGTGTGGCTTTGTCCCTCTGCCGGTACCTTCATGTGTGCGGAGAGTGGTCTCAGCATGGTGGTGGCTGGTTCTGGAGGTCTTCAGCTACTTGAGCCCTGGTCGGGGCGGGGAGGGAAACTCGACCCGCTCCCCTCCAAGGGGCCCCGGCAAGGACAGCCAGGCGCAGGGCCAGGAGACTCTGCGCTGTTCTCTTCTGGGAGCTGGGTTTTATAGTCTCTGAATCTTGGCCGTTGATGGGATTACACGGCGCCAGTACCCTCCCCACTGTGCTCTCTCTCAGGCGTATCTCTGCAACTTGGACCTGTAGTTGTAACACTTCTCTACCCCACCAAGGTACCTGAGGCCCTTCACCCATATTCCACAGTACTTGTCCTCCACTTCTTGTTATCCCCTTTTCTTTCTTTCTTTCTTTCTTTTTTTGGAGGGGGTCACACCCAGCGATGCACAGGAGTTAACTCCTGGCTCTGCACTCAGGAGTTACTCCTGGCGGTGCTCAGGGGACCATATGGGATGCTGGGAATCGAACCCGGGTCGACCACGTGCAAGGCAAACGCCCTACCCGCTGTGCTATCTATCGCTCCAGTCCCCCTTTTATTTCTTTTCCTCTGTCCTTCTTCCAGACTTTCCATTCTCTGTTCCAGTCACTCTATAAGCCACAGATAACGAGACCGTCCTGTCCTGTCCTGTGTCTCGTTTTCCTTTTTCTGGCTGACAGCCAGATGCTCAACACAAAATTCTTCGCTTATAACCCACTAGTTGGTGTGTGTGTGTGTGTGTGTGTGTGTGTGTGTGTGTAACAGGGAGTAATAGTACAGCAGGTAGGGTGTTTGCCTTGCACTGTGATTGCTGGCACTTCATATACTCCCCCAAGCACCCCAGGAGTAATTCTTGAGTGCTGAGTCTAGAGTAACCCTTGAGAATAACCAGGTGTGTTCCAAAATGAAAAAAAAAAATCCCACAACAACAACAACAAAAAAACCCTTCACTTAAAACCTACCAGATGGTCCAGTTGGTAGGTTGTTTGCTTTGTACATGGCTAACCTGGGGTCAGTCTAAAGCACCCCATCTGGTTCCACAAGCCCCACCAGGTGTGACCCCTGAGCACAGAGCCAGGAGTCAGCTCAGAGAACCGTTGGGTGAGGCCCAATACCCCCAAAAGGAAGAGAAAGTGAATTGTTAGGCTTGTATTTTATATCAGTTAAACTGCTGTTGAAACTGTAAGACGAGGCTGGAGCGATAGTCCAGCGGGGAGGGCGTTTGCCTTGCACGCTGCTGACCCGGGTTCGATTCCCAGCATCCCATATGGTCCCCTGAGCACCGCCAGGAGCAATTCTTGAGTGCAGAGCCAGGAGGAACCCCTGAGCATCAGCGGGTGTGAACCCAAACAAGAAAGGTTTGTAACTTTCTCATGCTGATTCAATTAAAAGAATTAAATAAATTAAAAAATAATTATTATTATTATTTTGCTTTTTGGGTCACACCTAGCGATGCACAGGGTTTACTCCTGACTCATGCACTCAGGAGTTACTCGTGGCGGTGCTCAGGGGACCATATGGGATGCTGGGAATCGAACCCGGGTCAGCCACATGCAAGGCAAACGCCCTACCTGCTGTACTGTCGCTCCACCCCCAATAAATAAAAAATGTAAAAGAAAAAAAGAAACTAAGACAGGACCAGGAAGTGGCTCAAAGAACTGAGGGTTTGTGGGAGCCCTAGGTTGAAGCCCCAGCACCATATGGTCCCCCACCACCACTGGAAAGGACCCCTAAACCCCTGAGCACCGCTGGGTGTGGCCCTGAAATCGATAAAGAAATAAGTGAAGGGCCAGAGCAAGACTACAGTGAGCGGCGCAAGGGTCCTTGCTTGCACACGGCTGACTCAAGTTTGATCTTTTGTTTGTCTGTTTGTTTTTTTGCTTTTTGGGGTCACATCCAGCGAGGCACAGGGGTTACTCCTGGTTCATTACTCCTGACAGTGCTTGCGGGACCATATGGAATGCTGGGAATCGAACCCGGGTCAGAAGCGTGCAAGGCAAACGCCCTCCCCGCTGGACTATCGCTCCGGCCCACAGGTTTGATCTTGACACCCCAAAGGGGACCCTGTACCTCCCAGAAGTGATGTCAGAGCACAGAGCCGGGAGTCAGCTCTGAGCACTGCCAAGTGTGCTCCCTCCAAAACAAAAAATGTGAAAGGAAAGCAGTAGCCCCACTTTTTAAGTGAAACCACAGAGACATTTGTGCTAGTGTCCACTGACGGAAGCCAGCTCCTCTTTCAGGAAGCCCTCCCTGATGCCTCCAAGCTCTGCTGGCCTGTGCTCCGGAGGCGGAGACGACAATGGTCGAGCCCAGTGTCTTGGATCCAAAGGAACAAAGATTAGCTTTGGGTGGGGGTGGGGGGCTGGGTCCTGGGACCCCCTTTTCTGAGGCTTGCAGAAGACAGGAAGTAACATCCTTTGGGTCCCAAGGGCTTGGCTTGGTGCTGAGTGGGGGTGGAGGGTGCCCAGAAGCCATCGCGTGCGGCCCTCCTCCTGCTCTCGCTCTGGCCACCTGTCACTGTCCATCTGTCTATCCCGTCCCGGCCAGCCTCCCCCAACTCCAGCCAGTCCACGGGTCCTGCTCGGCGGCTTGGGGGTAAGTGGGACTGGGGGTGCCTGGCCGAGGTGGCAGCCCCTAGACTCCGGGGAGGTGTGTCTGAGGTTCCTGGGGGCCCCACCCTGACTCTTGGGGATCCCTCCCCCTCCTCGGGACATCCACTCCCCTCCACTTGGCTTCAGCTGCAGAAAAGGTGGGGGTCACCTTTGCCCCCCAGGGTGGGGATCGCTCAGCCTAGGGGCCAGGGTCACCGGGGACCCCAAAATAAAACAGCCTCTGGTCAGCTGACAGATCATGGTGCTTTTGTGTTTTTGTCTTTCTTTTGGGGAGGACGGCGGCGGCACACCGGGCTGTGCTCAGGGCTGACTCCTGGCTCTGTGCTCAGGGATCACTCGTGGAGGGACTCGGGGGACCCTATGGGATGTCGGGGATTGAACTCGGGTCAGCCGCGTGCAGGGCAAATACCCTCCCTGCTGTCCTACCCCTTGGGCCCCAGAACCAGGTTTCACCCCAAACTCTGTCAGACTCTGGAAGCCAAGCTCCTCCTCAGACTTGGTTTCCTCATTTGCCCTAGGGGAGAAGGTGTGAACTTGGGGGTCCCCCACCCCCAGGCCCCTGCCTTGCCAAGGCCAGAGTGAGGCGGGTTCTGGCTTTGGGGTCCCCGAGCCAGATCTCAGGGGCAGGGGATTAGGTGGTCCGAGTTGTGGAAAGAAGGACAGAGAGACCCCAGTGGAGGGCAGAGATCTGGGGGTGCTTCTGGGCCGCAGAATGCTCTGTCCCGCTGGCCTGGGCAGCAGATAAAAATAGTCGCTGGCCTCAGCAGGCGGAGCAGATGGACACGGGGTCCAGCTGTGGCTGAGTCATGCCCTTGCCCCCTCTGGGCGAGGCAGCTTCCTGGATGCTGTGGGTGGGACCGGCACAGCTGGCCTGTTGGGAGGGTCCCCTGGCAGTCAGCGGGGTTTGGGGGGGGCGGGTCTAAGGGCGGGCAGTGCCCTGCAGATATCAAACCGCCACCCAGGTCTCAGAAGCCATATGCTCCCCCACGACACAATAAAAGGCCGAGAAGAGATGGTATGATAGTACAGCAGGGAAGAAGTTTGCCTGACACGTGGCTGAACCCGGGTTCCATCCCCAGCCCTGAGTATAGCCAGGTGTGGCCCCCAAAGGCCTAATAACATAGACTGAGGTGGGGCTGGGGCAGAAGTTCAGAGCTGAGTGTGGGTCTCGTTTGATTTCATTTGTAGGGATTGTTTTTGGCTTTGGGGTCACACCCAGCAATGTCAGGGGTTACTCCCGGCTCTCCTGGCTCTGCACTCGGGACTTATTCCTGGAGGTTCTCAGGGGGCCGGATTGAAACAGGGTCGGCCGCATGCAAGGCAAATGCCCTCCCTGATGCATTATTGCTCCAGCCCCTTTAACTAATTAAAAAAATTTTTGGTCTTTTGTGGTCACACCTGGTGATGCTCAGGAATTACTCCTGGCAGTGCTTGGGAGACCATATAGGATGCCGGGGATCGAACCTGTGTTGTCGTGTGCAAGGCAAACGCCCTCCCAGCTGTATTATTGCTCCGGCCCCATCCGACCCTTTTATTTTAATTTTTTGGTGAGGGGACACACTTGATTGTGCTCAGGGCTTAATCCTGGCTGTGTGCTCAGTGGGCACTCCTGACAGGGCTCAGGGGGACTGTATGAGGTGACGCCCTTCCTCCTGTACTAGCTCCAGCCCTGAACTTGGGGCTGTGCATGTGGGGGACCCAGGCTCCATCCCAGTACCAGAGAGTTCCCCAAGCATCCCTGTAGCTCAAACACCAACAACCTCACAGTGGGTAGGTCATTCGCCTTGCAAGCGGCCAACCCGGGTTCGATTCCCAACATCCCATAGGATCCCCCGAGCACCCCCAGAAGCAATTCTTGAGTGCAGAGCCAGGAGTAACTCCTGAGTATCTCTGGGTGTGACTCAAAAAGGGTAAAAAAAAAATCTCGGGGATCAGAACCATAGTACAGCGTGGAGGGCATCAGCCTTGCACGTGGCCGACCCAGTTCAATCTCTGGCACCTGGTAGGGTCCCCTGAACCCCACCAGGAGTGAACCCTGAGCACAGAACCAGGAGTAGGCCCTGAGCACAGCTGGTGTGGCCCCAAAGCAAAACCAGACCAAAATAATAATGTCACCTGCCGGCCACTCCTCAGCCTCAGCCTGGAGTATCTGCTGTCTCGGGGGGCGTCTCCATGACGGCCAGGGCCTTGGAGGAACTGGACACAGGCCTGGGAAGCCTGCAAGCAGGTAAGGCCGTCTTGGTGTGGGGATCCCTGAGCAGACCAGCTGCAGGGGGACAGAGCTTGTGGTCCCCCCACCCCCAGTGCATGCCAAACCAAATGGTATATTCCTGACATGTGCTCCATGCACACACTCTTGCTAACCTCTCTTATCGCTGAGCCCCCCCTGGGGGCCCACAAAACACACATGTTGCTGGGGCCGGAGTGATGGTACAGTGGATAGGCCATGTGCCTGGCAGTTGGTTGACCTGGGTTCAATTCCCGGCATCCCATAGGGTCCCCAAAGCACTGCCGGGAGTGATTGCTGAATGCAGAGTCAGGAGTAACCCCTGAGCATTCCCCCGGGGAGGCGGTGACATCTTCACTTGGCTGGGATTTAGGCCACGGTGCCTGAAGCCTGCTAGCTGGAGAATTGCAGTGGGTACTGCCTGGGCCCAGCACAGCTGTGCAGAGGGTGGGATAGGCCTGGTGGGGGGTGGAGGGTTCCCCATAATCTTGGGCCTCTCTTTCGCATTAGCAGTGGTATCCCGGAGGGCAGATGCCAGCAGCTGGCCCCTGGTGAGTTCCAGGGGCAATGGGGGGGGGGGGGGGAGGGCTAGAATTCCCATTTGGTCTCTGGGGTGGCTGGATATGTTTCTTTTTCTTTCTTTCTTTTTTTTCGTTTTGCTTTTTGGGACACACCCAGAGATGCTTAGGGGTTACTCCTGGCTCCACACTCAGGAATTAACTCCTGGTGGCTCCTGGTGGTGCTGGGGGAGAGACCATATGGGATGCTGGGGATGGAACCTGGGTCGGCTTCGTACAAGGCAAACGCCCTCCTCCCCGCTGTGCTATCACTCCAGTCCCATGCAGATGGCTTTTCTACATTGTTTTCTTTCTTTTTTTTTTTCTTTTTGGGTCACACCCAGCGATGCACAGGGATTACTCCTAGCTCATGCACTCAGAATTACTCCTGGCAGTGCTCGGGGGAACCTATGGGATGCTGGGAATCGAACCCTGGTCGCACCGTGTACAAGGGGCAAATGCCCTACCCGCTGTGCTCCAGTCCTTCTACATTGTTTTCAAGCCATTCGGATATATTCCTAGGAGCAGTATTGCTGGGTCATATGGAAGCAAATTTTTTTTTTTTTTGCTTTTTGGGTCACACCTGGCGATGTAGAGGGGTTACTCCTGGCTCTGCGCTCAGGAATTACCCCTGGCGGTGCTCAGGGGACCATATGGGATGCTGGGAATCGAACCCAGGTCAGCCGCGTGCAAGGCAAATGCCGTACCCGCTGTGCTGTTGCTCCAGTCCCCAGGAAGCAAATTTCTTGTTCTTTATTTTTTTTGCTTTTGGGTCACACCCAGCGATACATAGGTGTTACTCCTGGCTCATTCACTCAGGAATTACTCCTGGCAGTGCTCTGGAGACCCTATGGGATGATGGGAATCGAACCCCAGTCGGCCGTGTGCAAGGCAAACGCCGAACACTGCTGTGCTATCACTCCAGCCCCCTGGCCGAATGTTTCTCATAGAGAGGTGGGCTTCTCTGGGTTGGGACCCCTCCTCAGAGCGAAGGGCTGGGGGTCCCCGTCTGGTTCTCAGGACTTGGCAGCTGAGGGCAGCCTTGCAGGAGGTGCGGATGTGGGGCCCAAGAAGACAGCGATGGAGCCTGATTCTCAAACGGACCCAGGACTCGGGAAGGAGAAGTTGAGAGCAGGTGCCAAAGGGCTTGCAGGGGAGGCAGGAGGGTGTCTGGGCTGACATTTGGGGTGCGTGCGGGGCACAAGCGTCCTGGGTGGCCCCTTTGGTGCCTGGGGGTGTTGCCCTGGTGGCTGAGTGTCTTGTCTGCCGCCTCCCGGCACCCGAGTTGCCGCTAATTCATGCTAAGGTGCGACTAAGCTTTTGCTAATCGTCGTCGTCTCGAATATTCTCGGCATGCCGGGGAGGGCCGCCAAGCAGCTGCTGGCCCCAGCCAAGCGGCGCTCGGGCTGGCCAGAGGTCCTGGTGCCCAGCGCGGCCCTTGCTCTTCGCAGCGCCCCGGAGCCCCGCGCGCAGGAAGACGCAGCCCGCCCCACCCTCGCAGCCCCCGCCGACGCCACCGCCGCCGCCGCCCCGGGAACAGCCGCTCTGGGGGTCTCTATCGCTCAACAAGTGTTTGGTGGTCGCCTCGCTCGTGGCGCTCCTGGGCTCGGGGTTCCAGCTGTGCCGCGGTGAGCAGGGGCCTCACAGAGGCGGCCCCGCCTGGGCGGGCGTCACCCTGCACCCCAACCTCTGTTGCGCCCCAAGCCTCCCCCTCGCTCCAAGCGCGCTCAGCTCCCTCCTCTGGGCCCCGCAGGATGGCCGCGTGCACCCCCACTCCCCGGATTCCCTGATATTATCAGACTGCAAAACCTACAGAAAAAAAAAAAAACCCTTTTGCGTAGCCCGAGAAATAGGCGGCCGGGTAAGGCGCTAGTTTTGCACACAGCGGACTAGGGTTCAATCCCCGATTCCCATGCGGAGTGACCCCTGAGCGCACAGCCAGGAGGGAGCCCCTAGCACCCCAACAAGCAAAGACAATAAAGGGGGGAGGGAGACCTGGCGGGAAGGAGTAACCCCAGGCTCATGGGTCTCTTTCCCCAGACGCTGTGATAGGGGTGGCCAACGCCCCGGCGCCCGGGCCCGGGGTCCCGCCGAGCTCAGTCCCGAAGGAGCCAGAAGCGCCCGCGGCGCCCGTGGTAAGCGCACCGTCCAGGCGGTGGGAAGGGAGTGCGGCTGGACGGGGCGGACACCCCACAGGACCCCACTGTTTGCAGCTGCAGGAAGCTAGGCCCATCCTCCCGCCACCGCCGGCACCCGCGGCCGGGACCGAGGAGCGGGAGGACGCTGCGGGGAGCGGGGAGGCTGCCGAGAAGGAAGAGGAGGACATCGCGGAGCCCGCGGGGGAGGAGGAGGAGGACTCCGCGCCCCTTTTAGCTCCGGAGCGCAAGGAGAAGCGCAAGAAGGAGCAGGCGCCCAGGAGGGAGAGGCCGCGGCAGGAGAGGCCGCGGCGAGACTCCGGGCTGCGGGAAGAGAAGCAGCCCCGGGCCGCCAGGGAGCCGCGGAGGGCGCGAGAGCCGGACCCCCGGCCGCGGGCGCGCGCCTCGGGGGACCCGGAGCCCAGGAAGCGGCCGGCCTGGGCCTCGCGGCATCACCCCGACGAGGAGGACCGGCGTTTGGGCCGGAAGCACCGCGTTGGCAAAGGGCGGGACTGAGCCTGGACCGGAGGGAGTGGCCGCCCATCGAGGGGTGGGGGGTGACCCCCGGAGCCGCAACCTCTCCCTTCCTCTCCCCCCTCAAAAAAAAAAAACCACGCAAGGGCACTTCGTCCGGGTCTTGCTGGGTCTTTTATTGGGGCGCGATCGGGACGGATTAAATACGGGGCGGGAGGGCGGGGGTCACCGGCAGCCGCACTCGGTGGCCACCATGTTGGGCACGTGGTGGGCGCTGATGCGCTCCTCGGACAGGCTGATGAGCAGCTTCCCCGCGTAGGCGGTGGGCACGCAGCAGGGCGCGCGCGCCAGGGCCGTGCCCCGCGCCTGCATCTTCAGCAGGAGCACCACGTGGTTGCCGTAGCGCGGGTTGCGGTCGGACTGCGGCCACCCGCACGCCCCCTGGCAGTTGTTGGCCTGGTACGTCTCGGGGATGAGCACCGAGCGCTCGGCGCGCAGGTCCACGCTCAGCTCCCGCAGCGCGCACGGCCCGTCGGCGGCGCCCGCGCTGCGCTGTGCCCGCGGCGACCCGCCGCGCCCCGGCTCCCGGCCTCGCCACTCGGCTCGCAGCCCCTGCAGCGCCTTCAGCAGCAGCAGGGCCCGCAGCGGCTCTCCCGGGGCGCCCCGCTCGCCCGCGCCGTCGGGGCACAGCTCCAGCAGGCGCGCCAGCAGCGGCGGGACGGCGGCCGGCAGCCCCGCGAGGCCCCGCAGCTCGGCGGCCGCCGCCTGCAGCTCGGCGGCCACCCGGCGCGCCAGCCCCGCAGCCCACGGGGCGGACGTGGGACCCGGCGGCGGCGGAGGCGGCGGCGCGGGGTCCCCGGAGCGGGCCGTCGGCAGCAGCAGCAGCAACGGCGGCTCCTGGCCACTGTCCAGCAGGCGCTCGAGCGCCGCGGGCTCCGACAGGTTGACCGTGAGGCCCTGCGGGAAGCCGGCTAGCGCCCCGGGGTCCAGGGCCAGGCGGGCCGGCGAGGCTGGGCCCCGAGCCCCCCGCAGCGCGCGCACCAGGCGCGTGAGCGTCTCCAGGAAAGGGTCGGCGCGGGCCGGGGGCTCCTCGGGCTCCGGGAACGGGCTGCGGCGGGGAGGAGCTGTGAGCTTCGGGTTGATCCCCATGACACCCCCATCCCCTCACGCTGCGCCCCCCCCCCCCAGCTTCCCCCCGCCCAGCGCACCTGGCCCGCGGGAAAGGCGCGGTGTCCAGGCGGCCGTGCGCGGGCAGCGGCGCGGCCGGCGGCGCGGGCAGCAGGAACAGGGTCGGGCTGGGCCGCGGGAAGCTGCGGGACCCCGGGCCGAAGAGCAGCGCCTGCGCCTGCGCCGTGCTCAGGGCCGCACCTGCGGGCAAGGGTGGAGGCTCAGGCTCTGGCGCGGGGACTCCTCGGGACGAGGACCCCCCGCCCGCTCCCCCGCGGCCCAAGTGTCGGGGGACCCTGGGCGCGCGCCTACCGTCTTGGCGGGTGCGCAGCATCAGGGCGAGCCCGCGTCCCTGCCAGGCCCCCGACGGGCGCTCCAGGGCCAGTGCCAAGTAACGGGTGTCCCCGGACGGACAGAGCTTCTGCGGAGATGGGAGTTGGGGGGATGTCGGGTCAGCGCTGGGACGTCCATCGTGCCCCACCTCTCTCGGACCCCCGGACGGCCCCGAGCCCGCTGCCGCCTCTCCCGCCCGGGTACCTGCGCGCCTCGCAGCCCGGCGCCCGTGACCGTGACCTCAGGGCCGGGGCCCGGATACAGCACCAGCAGCGCGAGCTCCGGTGCGCTGGCTGCTCCCAGTGGGGGCTCCTGGAACCTTAGGGCAAGTGCCGGCTCCCAGGTCACTGCAGCGGGGGGACAGGGGGGGCAGGGGGCGTCTGACTCGTGGGGTCACATCCCTTTTTTCACGCCTGGAAGCCCTCGCTCTTAGGGGACCTAGTGGGAGAGGTTGGGGTGCTGCGGGGCGTCCCCGTAGTTGTCAAGTGTGTGAGTGTGGTGTCCCACCTGCCCTCCCTGAACCCTGGGTGGGGGGGGGGGTCCTGCTGGGCTTCTCCCCAGAACAGATTGAGGGAGGGGGCGGGGATGCTCACGTACCTTCCTCCAGATGCAGGACCACCAGCCGCTGCCCCCCAGCCCCCCGGAGCCAAGCGCCCAGTTGCTGCAGAGACTGCAGGGCAGCCTGGCTGGGGCCCACGCTGCAGACCCCAAACGTGGCCAGGTCATGGGGGTCCCAGTGGGCGCGCCCCACGGCCTGGAGGAAGGCCTGCTCGGAGGCGCTCGGGGCCCCCACCACCCGCAGGGGGGCGCTGCTGTCCTCGCTCAGCGTCAGCAGGCACAGAGGCTCCTGGGGCCACCTCGGCGGCCAGGGGTCAGGGCCCCCCCAGTCCCAGCTGAAGATCAGTCCCTCGGCGTCTGGGGCTGGCGGTCCCAGCACAGCGGGGGTGCTGGGCATCTCATCGGTGGGGGTCCCGGCCCTCAGCAGCGCCCCCAAGCCCACCAGCACCAGAGCCAGCCCGGAGAGCAGGGGAGCACGCATGGTGGGTGCTGTGAGGGGTCGGGCGCCCCGGCTTTTATGGGCCGGGCGCGGAATGTGTGCGGGAGGGCAGGAGGTGACCTTGGGGACCCGGGCTGCGCCCCACTTGCGAGCACTCAAAGCCCCTCTGTTCCCGCGGCTATCAGCCTGATAGTGTGCGCCGGCCCGCGGGCCTGGCCTTGAGCTCGCCCGGGAGGGGACAGGACCGGGGACCAGGGGGGTGGTGTAGAGGTGCCTTTTGCTCACCCACCTGGGACCCCAAACCTGCCCATGCTTTGGGGGGGTCCATCCTGGTCCCAGCAGGGACAATGGGAGTCCTGGTGAGTCGCGGGACCCCGTCCCTAAGCACACAGCAGCCCCAAGGCCCCTCACACGTGATCTCCGCCTGTGGAGACCCCCTCCCCCCACAGAGCGCAGAGCGGCGCAGCACAGCAGATGTTGGGAGGCTGTTTATTGGACTCGGGGCGGCCACCACCCACCTGTACAAAAACACCAGGCAGGCGTGGGAAACCGGGAGGGGGGGCGCGGCCTGCAGGGAGGGGCGGGGCTTCAGTTGGCTGGGGGCGGCGGGGGCATGTTCCCGGGGCCCTCGGCCGGCAGCGGGGGTCTCAGCATCGGAGGCATGGGGGCCGCAGGATGCACCCCCGGGTTTGGGGGGTGAACGCCAGGAGGCTGCGGGTGGACGCCAGGAGCTGGGGGATGCACCCCAGGAGCAGCGGGGTGGACGCCCGGGGGCGGGGGGTGGACCCCCGGAGGCTGGGGGTGGATGCCGGGGGCGGGCGGGTGCACGACCGGAGCTGGCGGGTGCACCCCTGGGGCCTGGGGGTGAACTGCAGGAGCTGGCGGGTGCACCCCTGGAGCCTGAGGGTGGACCCCCGCGGCGGGAGGGGGGTGGACCCCAGGAGCCTGGGGGTGAACCCCCGCGGCGGGAGGGGGGTGGACCCCTGGGGCCGGAGGGTGGACCCCGGGAGCAGGCGGATGGACGCCAGGAGCTGGGGGGTGCACCCCAGACGTGGGGGGGTGCACCACTGGAGCTGGAGGGTGCACCCCGGGCGCTGGGGGGGGCAGCTGGGGTGGGCCCGGGGGCCCTGAGGGGGCGGGCCCGCTGGGCGGCATGGGGGGCAGAGGCAGGCCCCCGGGGGGCGGCGGGGGCAGAGACTCGGGCAACGGGGGCCGCGGGGGGAGGCCGTTCATCAGGGGCGGTGGTGGCCGCTTCACCCCGGGGGGCCCCGCGGGCAGGCTGGGGGGCGCCGGCGGCTTCTCCATCTTAAAGTGGAACTGCAAAAAGAACTGGGGCGCACAGCGGGTGGGGGGGTCTCAGCAGGATCTTGGGGACCCGGGACCCCCCACCCCAGCTCACGCCCCCCCCACCCCGACCCCACCCACCTGTTTGGTCTCGCGGTTCCAGTGGGTCCAGAACTTGCCTTCGGCTTTATCGATCTCGCGGCTGGGCACCTGCAGGGCGGCACGGGGTGGGGGCACCCTCAGGGCGGGGGCTCTGGAGGGGGGGTGAGGGAGGGGGTGGGGGCGGGGCGCCGCTCACCTTGAAGGCGATGGTCTCGTAGGGCTCGGCTGCCATGAGCAGGTACTGCCAGCGCCGGTCGGGGGGCTCGATGCGCTGCTCATAGGCGGACATGAAGCGGTGGCGGGGCATGATGGCCTCGGCGATCTCGGGGTAGTCGATCTGCGGGGACCCGGGGGGGACACCGTTGCTCGGAGCTCCGGGGAAACCCCCTCGCCCGGAAGTGCGGCCTGTCCCCCCCCTTGACCCGGAAGAGCTGCTGGTCCCCCGGACCCCTCACCTGGAAGAGCAGACTCTGCTGGCCCATGTCCGTGTCCCTCTGTTTAGTCACTGCAACACAGGAGGGATGGCTCAGGCCCCACCCGTGGCCCGGGAATGGGGTGCCGGCCCCCACCCCAGTCCAGGGAGCAGGCCGACTCGGGACAGCAGTTGGCCGGTGAGGGCTGGGGGCGGAGCCCTGACCCCTCCAGGAGGGCAGCCCCCCATCTCCCGTGCTCTGGGGCTGCCCAGAAACCCCAAGTCCCACCAGATTGCAGGCAAAAGCCTCTGGGGCCCAGAGAAGGGCAGTTGTGTGGGCAGCCCCCACCAAACACACACAGGAGACACAGGCACCTTTGTAGCCGGGGCTCCCCGCCCCCCCAGACACACAGGCACCTTTGTAGCCAGAGGCCCTGCCAGGCACACAGGCAGCTCTGAGCAGGGGCGGCTCTAACAGACACATACACACACAGACATGGCACACCTTTGTAGGGGGACGGGGGTGGGGTGGGGGGGCCTGTTTGTGTGTACACACACACACAGCACAGCCACAGCTTTGTAACTACAAGCTGTTTGTGTAGACACACATGTACACTCATATGTGTACACGCACAGGAAGACACACAGCACCTCTGTAGTGGGCCCGCCCTGCCCATGTACACACACACGCACCCTTGCAGCTGGGGCAGCTCTGACGCACACACACACAGCACAGCTTTGTAGCGAAGGGGCTGTTTGTGTGAACACTCACACGTGTACACACACAGACACATAGCACCTTTGTGGTGGGGCTGGTCCTGCCCATGTACACACACACACATGCACACACACACACACACACGCAGATACACAGCACTTTTGTGATGGCCAGCCTTGTTTCACAGACACACAGACACACTGGCACCTTTGTAGCCGGGCCGGCCGATCTTCACAAACTTTTTCACCTCCACCTTGACCTTCTCGGGAGCCGGCTGGGCCGGGGCCTCCTTGGCCTCCTTGGCGGCTCGCCGGGCCCTGCAGAGGGGACAGACACGGCGGCGTGCTGGCCCCTCCACTCAGGCCCAAGGACAAAGGCCCAGGTGGCGCCCCCCCATCCCCTCTTCCCTGCAGCCCCAGGAACGAAGGGGAGGGGTGGGAGGGGAGGCAGGGCTGGGCTCAGCACTCACAGGTTGGTCTGATGCTTCTTCCCCTGGGTGTGTGCGAGGTAGCTGCCCTGGCGGAAGAGGGGGCCAGTCAGGGTGGGGAGGTGGGGCAGGGGCAGGCTGGGGGGGGGGGGTCAGTCGCTGCAGGGGGGCGGGCTGGAGAGTGAGGAGCCCCCCCGGGGAAGGGAAGCCGGAGGGGGGAGCTGGGGGGGGGGACATGCTCTGGACGCCCCGAGACTCACCTCATTGTTGTGCAGAGTCAGGCAGAGTTTGCACTCGTAGGAGCCCAGGTGGTTCTTCATGAAATAGGGGTCCTGGGGGGAAGGTGCCCGTTACACTGCGGCCCCCAGCCCAGGGCAGTGGCCCCTGCCCCACCCCCACCCACCCACCCCGGCCCCCTGCAGCAGGCCCGGCTCACTTTATTGATGTCGATGGTCTCCAGCGCCAGCTGCCGGAGCCGCTCCCGGCGGTCCCGGTTGCTCTCGGAGGCCGAGGCCACCCCCCCACTGCCCGTCTTGCCCCCGGGGCGGTGCTGGAAGTCCATGGTGCAAGCTGGGGGGCGTCACTCCAGGGGAGAAACCTTGGGGGGAGAAGCCAGGATGCGGTGCTGGGGGGTGGGTGGGGTCAGCAAGGCCACGCCCCCTCCTTCCTGGTCCCACGGATGAGTCCAGCGGTGACAGTAGGGGAGAGGCAGCCCGGCTCCCACTCTCAAGCATCTCCTCCTCTAGGAAGCCTCCCAGGATGCCTCACTGCTTGACAGAGGCCTACCAACCCCAACTCCACTTCCTTGGTGCGGTGGCATTTTCTGGAAGCTCAGCCACCCCCAGAACCTTGGCCTCAGATAACCCCAGAGAAAACAGTGTGATGCCCAGACCAGGAAGGCCAGGGCTGCAAGCCCCCTGGACCCGACACCCCAAAGAAGCAATCCCTTGGGGCTGGAGAGATAGCACAGCAGGTAGGGCGTTTGCCTTGCACGCCGCCGACCAGCGTTCGATTCCCAGCATCCCATATGGTCCCCTGAGCACCGCCAGGAGTAACTCCTGAGTGCAGAGTCAGGAGTCACCCCTGTGCATTGCCGGGTGTGACCCCCCCCCAAAAAAGCAGCCCCTTAGGAACCCCCGCTGCAGTCCAGCTGCCTCACACACTCACACACAGGGAGCCCCCTGGCTCCAGGGCTGTGACCACAAAGTCCCACAGACAACACGTGTCCTGGGATGGAGTCTACAGCTGGGTGTGTGTGTGTGGGGGGAGTCATGCTCTCTGGGACAGAGGATCCCCGCTCCCCAGTGCAGGCTGACACCCTTCTGGTCACATTTTCATCCCCTTCTAGAACAATTCTACCAAACGACTGGCTGGGAACAGGGCTGGGAAGATGGCCCCAAAGCACTGCTGGGGACGGGTCCCCAAACCAAAGCCCAACCCCCTCCCCCAACAAGCAAAAAACCCAATGCCCAGCAACAGCTGGACAAATACCAGGGTGGGGCTGGGGGGTCTTCAAACAGACCAGAGTTCCCAACTGTCTGTGGACACGCCCCATCCATCTACCAAGGGCCAGGGTGAGCAGCTCCGGGACAAGTCAGCAAGACCACCTGCTAGGGACCCCAGGCCTCCCACACCTACCCGCTCATTGGTATTCGGGAGCCGTGACCTTCCCCCTACTTCCTGGGGCAGACCTCAATCTCCTGCTCCAAAGCTCCAAGGACCCCCCAGCAGAACGTCAGGAGGAGGCATGGAGCTGGGGGGGGGGGGGAGCAAGCACCCTGCAGCCCCCAACTGAGGTTCCCTGATCCCCCAAAGAGAACAGCAGTGCCCTGCCAGGCTTAAGGGACCTGGTGGGGGTGGGGCCAGAAACGCCAGCAAACAGATTTGCTTGGGATCCAAGTGGAGAGGTTGACGCTTGTGGCAGTTAGCAGGGAGGTCGCGGCACCCCAGACCATAAAGGGGAGCCCACGGGGGGGGGGGGGAGTCTGGGGGAGAGAAGGCAGCACAGACGCGCGGGTCCTTAACGAGCACAGAGCTGGGAGGTCAGAGCTGGGAGGTCGCTGCATGCCAGGCAAGTGCCCACCCCGCTGTCCTCTCTCTCGGGTCCCCTCGCTGAGCATTCTAGATCCCAGCCTGAAACCAGAAACGTGGTGGGCTCTGGGGCACTGTAGGAGGTGCCAAGAGGGGTCCTTTATCTGGGAAGGGAGGGATGGGGACCGGGGTGCCTCCCGGCTGGCGAGGAGCATGAGGGGTCGAACCTGCACCTCCTGCAACTTGGCTCTCTCCCCAGCTTCACTTTCCCCCCACTTCTCTCTCTCTCTCTTTTCTTTTTGGGTCACACCTGGCGATGCACAGGGGTTACTCCTGGCTCTGCACTCCGGAATTACGCCCCGCGGTGCTCAGGGGACCCTATGGGATGCTGGGAATCGAACCCGGGTCGGCTGCATGCAAGGCAAACGCCCTACCCTTGGTGCTATCGCTCCAGCCCCTCCACTTCTCTTTTAAAAGGACAAACTTGAGGGGGTGCCGGAACGACAGTGCGGCGGAGAAGGGGAGTGCCTTAAATGCAGCCGACCCGGGTTCGAGCCCCGGGATCCCACAGGGTCCCCTGAGTGATCCCCGAGTGCAGAGCCAGGAGGAAGCCCGGAGCATCGCAGGATGTGGCGCACCGCCCCCTCCCCCCCCAAACAAAAAGAGCACAAACTTGGGGTCGAAGCGAGCTAAGGGATTTGCCTTGCATGCTGCAGACCCGGGTCCGATCCCCGGATCCTACAGGGTACCCTGAGCACCGCCGGGGGCGATCCCTGCGTGCAAAGCCAGGAGTCAGCCTGAGTACCGCGGGGTGCGGCTCAAAATCAAACCAGGGATGGGGGGCCCGCCCCCGTCACGGGAATTCACGTTGAGGAGGGGCCCCCAGGGGTCCAGGGTCGCGCCCCCGTCACGGGAACTCACAGCGATCGCGCAGAGGCTGCCGGGCCACGTGACTGGCAGCCCCCCACCCCCACCCCAGCGGATGTTCGGGGACAGTTCCCGGAGCTCGGGGTGGGGGTGGGGGGGCATTAAGCCTGCTCGACCAGGGACGCGGACCCGGTTTACCGGCCTCGGCCCGCGCCCCTCACGCACGGTCGCCCCCCGCCCCCCAGCTTCCCCCGGAGGCGCCCGCCGCGCTCCAGACCTGCACGGAGACCGCGCCGCCGTCGCCTTTTCAAGTCGCTGCCGCCGCCGCCGCCGCCACTACGTCCTGCGCACGCGCGGGTTGGGCGCACCAAGCACTTCCGGGGCCAAAGGGACGGGGCGTCCCCTGTGCGCATGCCCAAGCGGCTGAGCCCGGCGCTCTTCGGGGCCAGGGCAAGGGGGGCGGGAGGGAGGCGAGACCGGAAGTCAAAGTGCGCCTGCGCACTAGGCTCCCGGCCCGTTTCTGTCGCGCGCGGTCTCGCGCTCGCCTGCGTCTCTCGCGGGAGAGCGAGCAAACCGTTCGCCGCCACACAGCCGTGTCAGGAGCGGTCGCCCCCCGGGGAATGGGGGCTCTGGGTCCCGTTGCCACTCCGGTTCCCCCTTGTTCGCTGTTTCCCTCTCACAACGCCCCGTCTCCCACGAGCTCCCCAGCCCGCCCTGTCCGACGTGTCCCCCGCCGCCCCGCTCCCCGGGCCCGGTGAAGGGAAAGAAAAAAAAAGAAGGCGCGACCCGGGCACACGCAGGCGCAGTCGCGCCGGCGGGACTTCCGGAAGCGCGCGGCGCGACCTTTTTGGCGCGGGCGGGGACGGCGGCCCGGAGGGCGGCGGCGGCGGCGGCTTCGGGGGTCTCCGCGTTGTCACTCGCGCTCGGTCCCCCGGGGCCACCATGCGCTACAACGAAAAGGAGCTGCAGGCGCTGTCCCGGCAGCCCGCCGAGCTGGCAGCGGAGCTGGGCATGCGGGGCCCCAAGAAGGGCAGCGGTGAGCGGGGCCGGGGTCCGGGGCGGGCGCGGGGAGAAGGGGGCGCGGGGGAGGGGTCGGGGGCAGCGCCCGGCCACCCAGTCACGTGCCCGCCCGGTGCTCGCAGTGGTCAAGCGGCGGCTGGTGAAGCTGGTGGTCAATTTCCTTTTCTACTTCCGGACGGACGAGGCCGAGGTAGGGGGGCGGGGGCGGGGCGGGGGCGGGGGCGGGGTGGCCGCCACCCGGGAGGGCCCGGCGCGCCCCCACCCCACGCGTGCCCACGCGCCCCCTCCGTGTGCCCCCAGCCCGTCGGAGCCCTGCTGCTGGAGCACTGCAAAGTGAGCCCGGAAGAGCCCAGCGGCTTCTCCATCAGTGAGTGCGGGGCGCCCCCCACCCGCGGCTGCTGCGTGCACCCCACTCCCCGCTGCCTCCGCCAGATGCAGGGTGGGGGGGTAGACCCCGGAGGCTAACGCCTCGGCAGCAGGAGGAGAAACGGGCACTGTTGTGGGCTCCCTCCCGTCGCCCCGGGGTTTGGGTGGGCTCTGATCCAGGGGACGTGGTGTGGTGTGGTGTGGTGTGTGTATGTGTGTGTGTGTGTGTGTGTGTGTGTGTGTGTGTGCGTGCGCTCTGATCCAGGGGGCGTGGTGTGCGTGTGTGTGTGTGTGTGTGTGGTGTGTCCATAGCTGCCGCCCTCTGATCCAGGGCGCGTGGTGTGTGTGTGTGTGTGTGTGCGCGTGTGTGTGGTGTGTCCATAGCTGCCCTCCTCTGATCCAGGGCCCGTGGTGTGTGTGTGTGTGGGTGGGTGGGTGGGTGGGCTCTGATCCAGGGGGCGTGGTGTGTGTGTGTGTGGTGTGTCCATAGCTGCCCTCCTCTGATCCAGGGCGCGTGGTGTGTGTGTGTGTGTGGGTGGGTGGGTTCTGATCCAAGGGGCTTGGTGTGTGTGTGTGTGGGGGGGTGTCCGTAGCTGCCCTCCTCTGATCCAGGGGGCGTGGTGTGTGTGTGTGTGTGTGTGGTGTGTCCATAGCTGCCCTCCTCTGATCCAGGGGGTGTGGTGTGTGTGTGTGGTGTGTCCAGAGCTGCCCTCCTCTGATCCAGGGGGCGTGGTGTGTGTGTGTGTGTGTGTGTGGTGTGTTCATAGCTGCCCTCCTCTGATCCAGGGGGCATGGTGTGTGTGTGTGTGTGTGTGTGTGTGTGTGTGTGTGTGTGTGTGTGTGGTGTGTCCATAGCTGCCCTCCTCTGATCCAGGGGAGGTGGTGTGTGTGTGTGTGTGGGTGGTGTGTCCAGAGCTGCCCTCCTCTGATCCAGGGGGCGTGGTGTGTGTGTGTGGTGTGTCCAGAGCTGCCCTCCTCTGATCCAGGGGGCGTGGTGTGTGTGTGTGGTGTGTCCAGAGCTGCCCTCCTCTGATCCAGGGGGCGTGGTGTGGGTGTGTGGTGTGTCCATGGCTGCCCTCCCAGCCTTTGGGGGTCCCCCTAGTCACTCTCCAGCCTCTAGGGGGTCTGCTCCGGGATTTGGGTGGGGTTTGATCCAGGGGGCATGGTGTGTGTGTGTGTGTCCATAGCTGCCCTCCCAGCCTCTGGGGCTCCCCTCAGTCACTTTCCAGCCTCCGGGGGGTCCCCCCAGTCACTGTCCCTGCCTGCACTTGCTGTTTTCCGCATTTCTGTTCACTGCTCTAAGGGCCGCCAGATGGGGGCCCCACCCCTTCGCAGGGTGGCCTGGTGACTTAGGTGTAGTTGAGTCCATCCCACGCGCGTACTCCGGCTCCAGGGGAGTGCGTCATGGGTGACACGGCTGCCCATGTACTGACGGACACCCCCCCCCCAGGCTTCTTGGAAGACCCTGACCGGAAGTACCACTTCGAATGCTGCAGTGCTGAGCAGTGTCAGGAATGGATGGAGGCTCTGCGGAGAGCCAGGTGGGACTTGGGGGGTCTGCGTGGGTGGGGGTTGCAGGGGAACCGCAGCGGTGCGAGGCGCTGAGCAAGTGACTTCCTGCCCCCAGCTACGAGTTCATGCGCCGAAGCCTCATCTTCTACAGGAGTGAGATCCAGAAGATGACGGGCAAGGTGGGTGTGGGGGTGTCGGTGGGGGGTGGGGCGTCGCCACTTGGGGTCCACCCCTAACAGCCCTCCACTACCCTGCTGCAGGACCCCCTGGAGCAGTTTGGCATCTCGGAGGAGGCCAGGTTTCAGCTGAGCGGCCTGAAAGCTTGAGCACTGTTCTCGGGGCTGCCTGGCTGCCCTGGGGCCCCAGCCTGCGGTTGGGTTTGGACTCAAAGATGGGGTGCCTGCAGAGCAGCGCCTCTGGAGAAGCACCTCGCCAGCTGCCCTTTGCAGGTGGGGCACCCCGGCCAGCGGTACGATGCTGAGCACCGAGTGAGGAGCTGGACTGTGCGTGCACTCGGCGGGGTTGAATGTACTAAGGAGCTCGGGGCTCCTAAACTGTGAAGGGGGGTGGGGAGCCTGGGACCCTGCTGACCTGGGCAGGCCCTGCTGGCTCCTTCCTTTGCACAATAAAGGTACCTCTTTTATACTGGGCGCATGCGCGTGCATCCCATGAGACGGGACCAGGAGGAGTGCTTCCTGGAGGCGGTGGCGCGGAAAGAAAGGGCCCGAAGCCTGGTTTTGGTGGGAACAGTTTATTACAGCGGTGGGAGGCTGGACGCAGCGGTGGCCCCAGTAGGGTTACTTTGCTGGGCACAAGTTGAGGGGGCACATGGAGAGGGGGAACGAGCAGGATCTTAAATAGTCACAACTTGGAGCTTAAGCAGGCAGGCCAGTCCCAGCCACGGGGTGCCCGCCCCCCGAAATGCCCATGTGAGCAGCAGCAGCGGTGCCAGGCCTTTCCACAGCCGTAGTGGCGTCCCAGCCAGGAGGACCCCCCGCCTGCACCCTGAACGTAATGCCTGGGTGCCTGCCCAGGGTGGGCGGGATGCAGAGGTGGGGGTCAGCCTCGCACCTGGACAGGGGAGAGGGACGCGTGCTTGGTCCTGTGGCTTAAGGAGCCCCGGCTCCCTGCTGGGAAGGCCCAGAGGTGGGCAGGGCTGGGCAAGCACCTTGGCGCCAGGGGGCAGCCGTTTCGAGGATGGGCAGGTCGGGAACCCGCCCCAGCACCTTCTTCGAGCCCCACTATTGCTCTGGCTCGGGGTTCAGGCTGCCCCCAGCATCCACGTCTGGGGATGGGCTGTGCTCCCCACAAGCAACAAGCGAACCAACCCCAAGGCCCCCCCTTGGGGAGGTGTCAGCACCTTAGAGCAGGGCTCGGACTACAGCTGTTGGCAGCCACTGGCCCCTTCCAGGGGACCCGGGGCTCCCTCAGCCTTGGAGGCTGGGCCCCCCTGCGGCCCCGGCACAGTATAAATAACAAGGCGGCCCCGGCTCTCCTCCCCTCCTGGCTTCAGTATCCCGTGCATATCCCGTGGAAAAATAAAGCAGTCAGACCTGCCCTTTATAAACTCTCGTCACATCTCTATAAAATACTGTCGCTCTCAGCGCGACCCTCTGCTGTACAGACACTGGCCCCACGAGGCCCTGAGCAATGCACTTGTTCCCAGGCCGCCGCCCCGAGCACCAGGGCACCCGAGCGGAGAGTCAGCACCAGGACGGGAGGCGGCGGGCGGGTAGCACCGGGCCGGGCGGCTCGCAGCCAGACGGTAGCTTAGTTCTTCTCCGGAGACTCTGTACATCTTCGCGAGTTGCCTCGACCACTTCGGTGGAATAAAATAAGTCAGAATAGTTTTATACTTTTTAAAAAACGATAAATATTTTATCTATAACTATGGACAGCCGAGGCGGCCGCGCGGCTTCACAGTAGCGCTCGTCCCGTCGCCCGTCCGGCGGCGCTGGCCCGTCCTTGCATAGGTCTCGCGGTTGAGGTAGAATCCTAGTTACCTGCAGACACATCGCGGGAGGGAAGCGCGCCGTTAGCAAGGGCTGGAGGGGGGCGGGGTGGGTTATTCCCCTACGGGGAGAGGACACGTGGACGCAGGGATGCCAGTGGCCGGAGCGGTGGCCTCTCCCGCCAGGGAGCCCATGTCCTGTCAAGAGGGAACGCCCGCGGGGGCACAGGAGGCAGCTGTCCCAAGCCTGCCCCGAGTCCTGCCTGCTCGCCCGGCCTCTCTGCGGAACTTCCCACCCCAGGCCTGGGCCCATCTGGGGTCACAGGGGCGGCCCCGCGGCTCTCCACCGAGGCCAGGGCCGGGCAGCGAGGCCACCGCAGGGAACCGACTCCCCACGCTCCTCCCTCCCCGCACCCCTCCGCGGTCTGTCCCCGAAAGGCCTCCTGCTGCTCCAGCCAGCCCGCCGGGGCGATGGGCCTCCCACCCCGAGGGAGGGGGCCAGGGCCGCTGCTGCCGGCTCGTGGGGACCCCAGCGGGAGCAGGGTACGGCCGGCCCCAGCCGCGCAGCTCCGGGAGCTGCGCACGCGCGCCCGTCCAAGCAGCGCGGCCGCGAAGCGAAGCAGCGACCCGGCGTGCGGGCAAGCGGCCGGAGCGGGGCGGAAGCTGGACGGCCGCCGCCTACGGGGCGGCGGGGCTGGGGGCGCCCCAGGCAGGCGGGCGCTGCCCCCGGGCCCTGCTGCGGAGGCGGGCGCGGCCAGGAGGGCGCCCTCGGCCGCGGAAGAGGTCGGGTCTCCGAGCGGGCCCGGGCGGGCGCCGGCCCTCCTTACCTTGCGGAAAGCGACCGCTAGCTAAGCAAGTCTTTAGCGCGGCTTAACCCCCGCGAGGCGCGGGGCATACGGAGACGGCATGCCCAGGGAAACCCACACGGCGGGCGGCCCCGCGCTGCTGCCGGGCGGGATCCCGGGCGCGGCCGGCGCCAGGGCCAGCCCGGGCAGAGGCTGGTGGTGCACCGTGAAGGAGGGGCGGGGGGCCTTGTGCGGGAGGGAGGCGAGCTTGATGGACAAAGAGGCGTTAGCGGGCTGCAGCGAGGCGGCAGAAGCGGGGGGCAAGAAAGCTTGGTTAGGCGGGCGGGGCGCGAGGCTCTGCAGAAGCACAGGCTCCGAGTTAGACGCCAGCAGCGCGGGGGCGGGAGGCAAGGCAGCGTTAGGGGGGCCGGGAGCGCGGGGCGGGGGCGGCCCCGGCGGGGGCCGGCCCGGGTGCGGAGCTGGCGGAGGCGGGGGCGGCCGCGGGTCGGCGGGGGCCGGGCCCTGAAAGGAAGCGGCGGGGGCGGCGGCCACGGCCTGCAGCGGGGCCAAGCTCAGCGCGGCGCTGTGGCATGCAGCCCCACTGCCGAAGCTGGCTCCGAACGGCTGCGAGGAGGCGGAAGGCACCGCGTGGTTAAAGACACCTGCAAACAGGAGAGAAAACCGGCTTCAACCGCGGCTCTCGGGCCGCCGGCCGGCCGGCAGCCGCGGCAGGGGCGGGCGCGGGCGGGGCCGAGCGGCGAACAGCGGCGGCTCAGGCGGCCAGGGAGGGTCACTCACCTGGCGGTCAGCTCCGGGCCCGCCAGCCCACCGCGCCAACCCGCGAGGCGCCCACCCGCCCCAGGCCTGCACCGGCGGCGGCGGCGGCGGAGTCCGCGGGGCCCGCGGGGCAGCTCGAAGGCCCCGCGGGGAAGCGGCGGCTCCTGGTGGGGGCGCCCGCCGGCCCGGGCTGGTAGGGGGTGGCCCTGGGAACCTGCAAGGCGGTGGAGACGAAAGCCCGGCGCCGGTCAGGCAGAGCCCCCCCACTTCCTACCTCCGACGGCCCCGCCGGCCACCCCGGAGAAGCTGCCCATGGCATGCGAGTTGGTCAGTCTGGTGGCGGCGGACGAGACGTGCACCAGGCCCGCGGCGGCGGGCACGGAGCTGAACAGGGACTGGAGCACAGACGAGCCCAGGTTGGCCTGCAGGGACATGGGGCCCAGGGCGAACTGCGGCGCGGGCGCGAAGGTGCCCAGGAAGGGCCGGTGCGTCTGCGCCGAGGTGGCCGCGCTGCCCGCCGCGGTCGACGTCGCCGTGCTGAGGCCCTGGCCGCTGAGGAGGCCCCCAGGGGGAACTGCAGCGGCAGAGATGAAGAGGTTGGGGCCGCCCTTGAAGTCCGCCTCGCGGTCCCGGTCGCGACTCCGGCCGGCCTTGGCCCCATGCGCCAGGGCCTGCTTGTCGGGGGCCCCGCCGGAGGGTGGGCCCGGCTCGGCGGCCTCCTTGCCCTTGCCGGCTTCACCCTTGGGCCCCCCCAGTCCGTCCAGCTGTCTCTTGTTCAGGAAGGAGCCCGACTCGGCAGCGCCCTCCTTGCCGCGGGGGCCGGGGAAGCTGAGCGGGGCGCTCAGGCCGGCGGCCTCGGGGCCCTTGAGGGCCAGCCCAGCACCATCGTTGAAGCTGTGTAAACTGAGGTCGGCGAAGGCGAAGCCGTTGGGGGGGTTGCTAGGGCTGAGGCCCCCCGTCGCCAGAGGGCCAGAGAAGCCTTTCCGCGAGTGCGCAGCCAGCTTGGGATCGGCGGCCGCGTCGTCCAGCGGGGACCGGAAGGCGAACAGGGAGCCCTGGCACAGCGCCGTGCCCGCCTGCAGGGGGCTGTCAGCGGCCTTGGGCAGGCCGAGGTCCGAGATGGGTGAGAAGGTGGCCTTCCACTTGCTGCTGTTGACCGGCTCGCCCACCGGGGTGACCTTCCTGCTTGTCACGCTGCCACCTGCCAAAGGGACACTTGTGAGCCTGCAGGCACACATGTGGGTGTACCCAGAGGGCCCCACACTCCCGGGCCTCTTTCCAGGAAAAAAATCCTCCGTTCTTCCCCCACACAACTCGACCTCCACTAGTTAGCAGCAGTCACAAACTTCCCTCTGACGGAACCAGAAAAGATGACCACCCTCCCCCACCCCCCCAGTCTTGCCAGTGCCTCCTGGGAGGTGGGGATCCCCCACTTTGGAAAACACAGTTCGAGGGGCTGAAGGGAAGAGCAGGTACAGAAGGGTCACCTAGTGGTCAGCAGCACCCAGATCTCATCTCCAGTCCAGCTCTGGGGTACAGGAGCACGCGAGGCGGGGAGGACACAGATGGGTGGGTGTGTCTGTGCTGGGGTGGGGAGAGGCTGGCGGCAGGGAGTGCCCCCCACCCCATGCTCACCATTTTCCAAGGACTTTGGGGGCGACTTGCTGTCCAATGAGATGGTTGCGATCTTCCTCTCGATCCTGTGTGGACAGAGAAGTCAGCGTGTGTGAGCCACGGGCTCCGCCCACGCCGCAGTCAGACCCCAGGCCAACTTGGCAGGGGCGACATTTCCCAGGGTGTCTGCCCCGAATGGCCACATTTCCCAGGGCAGCCCCGAGTATCTGCCCTGAATGGTCCTAGTGCCCCTTACACTGGTCTATGCATCTGTGCCCCTAGTGAACACGGACGGCTGAGACACAGCTGCCAGGAGATCGGGGCATTACATGGGCCCCGACTCAGCTGGGGGCCAAGAACAGAGAGGGGCCAGGGCTGCAGTGACCCCAAAAGAGGCCGGTAAAGACCTGGACATGTCCTGGGGACGAGCTGGACACACCGGCCACCAGAGGGCGCACACGTGAATGATAGGGATGCAGTGGGTAGAGGCCTCCAGGGGGTGCCAATATGAGGGGACACTGGTGGAAACCAGGCCACGGAGCCTGTGAGAGTGCTCAGGGGAAGGCCCCCCAGTACTGCCATGGTCCAGGAACCCCGCCTCCAGAGGACCCCCCAGAGAGTAGGGCTCACAGCTGCAGGCATGTGTGATCGTGTCCCCCTATAGCCCGTCTGGACCCTTCTCAGCCAGTCTGCATCTGGGCCACTCTAGGTGCTCAGGAGTGAGCCCTGGTGAGTGATCTTGGGGGGACCCTAGGCAATGCCAGGGACTAAATGGAGTCACCCCCTCTACTCTCTTCTCAGCCGAAGAGGAAGGAAATTCTGATCCCAGCTACAACATTCGTAAGTTTTTTTTTTTTTTTTTTTTTGCTTTTTGGGTCATACCCGGTGATGCTCAGGGGTTCCTCCTGGCTCTGCACTCAGGAATTACCTCCTGACGGTGCTGGGGGATCATATTGGATGCTGGGAATCGAACCCGGGTTGGCGGCGTGCAAGGCAAACGCCCTACCCGCTGTGCTATTGCTCCAGCCCCAACATTCATGACTTTTATGTTTTTGCTTTTTAGGCCACACCTGGGATGCACAGGAGTAACTCCCAGCTCTGCACTCAGGAATCACTCCTGGCGGGGCTCCGGGGACCCTATGGGGTGCCTGGATGGAACCTGGGGCGGCCAAGAGCGAGGCCAGTGCCTGGCCCTCTGTAGTACGGCTCTGGCCCAACACTCATGTCGGAGACAAAAATCAGACACACTGGGACACATCCTGGGGGAGCCCCTCCTCCCAGAGACGAGAAAGAGGGGGCAGGGGGAGGGCAGGACCACCTGCTCCCGTGAAGGGAGCGCTCGCCCCCCAGTCCCTCGCCCCGCGTCTCTGCCCCCGGGAGCCTCACCTGGCACTGGCCGGCTCGTCCTCGGAGCCCGGCTCCTCGTCCGAGGTGAGCGGCGAGTACTGGGCGCCGTTGCTGGGGCCCAGCGGCTTCTCCTTCTTGAGCACGGGGGGCTGGTCGTCCTGGTAGGGAATGGGGGAGCTCTTGAGCGAGCTCTCGGGGGACGAGATGGCGGTGATCTCCAGGGGCTGGTTGATGTTGCTGACCATGGAGTTGAGGTTCAGCGGGGAGCCCGACGACGGTGAGAAGAGGCCGGCGACGGCCGGCAGGGCCCGGCGCTTGGGGGACACGCCCGAGCTCAGGCTGGGGGTGCCCGCTGCCGCCGCCCTCTTCCTGCGGCCTCGCTTGCGGCTGTCGGGCCCATGGCCCGGGGCGCCTGCGGGCAGCCCGCTGTGCTTGTGGGAGGGTGACTGCTTGGCGCCGCCTGCCAGCGTGAAGACGATCCGTCGCTTGGTGTCACTCTCGGGGTCTGAGCAGCTGGCCTCCGCTGGAAGCTCCCCCTTGCTGGGGTCCGGCAGGGGGCCCTGGAGGCCGCCGCCGAGCCGGGGGCTGGCACAGAGCTGGTGGGCTGGGGAGATGGAGCCCGCGCCCCGGGACTGCGCCAGCAGTGGCGGGTGCTGCGGGGTGGAGCTGCGAGAGCCCATGGTGGCAAAGAGACTCCCTGAGCTGGAGGACTCATCGAAGGTCGCAGGCTCGGCCCCGGGCACCAGGGAGGCCGGGCTGCCCGCCAGGGCCCCGCTGATGGCCACTGAGCCCGCATAGAAGCCTGTGGGAAGGACACAAGAGTTCACTGATCCCCGAGCCACCGCACAGGCCCTCTGCTCCCGGCAGAAACCAACCCCACCGTCAAACACCCCCCCCCCCCCCCGCCCCTGCACCCCTGCCTATTAGGCCCAAGTGCAGAGGGCAGAAGGGGGGACGTTACCTGCGGGCACTTGTGACAGGCCTTTGCTGCCTGTACCTCCTTTGTCCAGTGTGGAGGCCTCCCGGGCCTGGGGCACCGGGCTGGGGGTGCTTCTCTGCGGGGTGGGGGGGGGGGGGGAAGGAGAGGATGGCTGAGCTGATTGGGCCCAGGGCCCAGACCCAGACCACAGAGCATGGTGGGCTCCAGACCGGCTGAGTGCTGGGACCACCCCGGGGAACCCCCAGGAGGGGACCCTCTGGCAGAGTGCTGGGGCATGCGGACAAACACCAAGACGAAACCTTGCCAGGACCGCCCTAAACCTGCATGTGGGTTGTCCCAGAACACAAACCCCACCGGGGTGTACCGAAGGGATGTCCTGCAGCTCTCAAGGGAAGGGCAGCTGACCCCGGTATCGCGTGGAGAGTCCTGACCCCAGGGGGATCTGGGATAGTCAGACCACCACGATTCCACTTCCCTTTGCCCCCCAGGGTTAGATCCTGTCCAGACAAGAAGTGGATGGGAAGACACTGATGGGGACGAGATTTCTCTGTGAGCTCATGGAATGTTCTGGAGCACCCTGAGCACCCCAGACAAGTGCTGTGGTGTGTGCTCTGTCTCTGGAACATGGCCCTCAGGCTTCCACCAAGCAGGGGCAACGGGACTCCCCTGTGCCCCCACCACGCTCACCTTCTCGGCACGGCTGGGAAGCACCACGCTGGCCAGGGGGATGCTGACGGGCAGTTTGCTGGGCTGCACCGTGCTCAGCGGGATGCTGACCGGCAGGCTGGTGATGGCCTCCCCGCTGCTGCTGGAGCCACGCTCCTTCAGACCCTGTGGACCCCAGGGCAACTGCTGATGGCGGGGTCGGGCGCCTCACACCTGGCCCTCAGCCCCGTCCCCTGCACCCCCCGCATGCTCGGGTCCCCAGATGAGCTGAGCCCTGGGTCGATGGTGCCCCTGCACCCCTCAGGGGTCACGCCCGCCCTCCTCACCTTCTCGCTGCCCTTCTCCCCGGCTGTGGGCAGGGCCCCGGGGGACGCAGGCCACGGGTCCTGCGGGCTCAGCTTCATGCCGTTGGCCAGCCCGGGGCTCCCGGTCTCCTTGGCGTGCTCAGCCCTGGGGTCAGATGAGCTGTTGGCGGGAGTGCTCCAGGCCAGGAGCGTCCCCTGCGTCCCGTCTCCCATCCCGGGGACGGCCCCACTCACCGGGGGTGCAGCTCGCCTGAGGCCTTGGCGCCGGCCGCGGGTTCCTGGCTCAGGTGTCGCCGCAGCACCAGCTTGGCTGGCGACAGGCGGGTGTAGTCGGGCAGGGCCAGGCCTGTCAGCTTGTCGAGGCGAGGCCGGCCGCCGTGGCTGGGGGTGCAGGGCACCACCTCCTGGTCCAGGGGTGACGCCAGGTACTGCGGGGTGTTCTGCTTGGATGGGGGCCGGCTGAGTGCCCCACACAGCTCGTAGCCCGCCGCATGGCCATTGAGGGAGAGCTCAGGGCTCAAGCCACTGAAGGGCGCCAGGGAGAACTTGGAGGTGTCCAGCTCGGGGGGCAGCCGGCCGGGCTGTGGCCCCAGGCCCTCGTCAGGGGGCCCACATGATTTGAGCTGCAGGAGCTCCTGCCGCCGCTGGTTCTTCTCCAGTTCCACGATGCTGATCTGCAACGTGGAGGGGCGAGGTCAGTCCCCATTGCCCAGGAGGGGTCTGGCAGAGAAGGCCATGGGGGGGGGAGGGGCACAAGGAAAACTCGTGTCATGGTCACGTGGTGCACCCAACCCCTCCGCCTCGAGGTGTTTTTGCGTGTGGAAAGTAGGGGATGGCGGTGCCCAGCCTGTGGCCTCCCAGCGGACCTGCTGTGGGGACCCCTCAAAGCAGGGCCACGTGGCCAGACCCAGAGGCTGCAGTACACCCACGCAGAGGAGTGGGGAGAAGGGAGCTGTGGCCGCCACAGGAGGTGCCCCACCCCGGCCACACCTGCAGCTCCAGGCAGCGCCGCTGCTTCTCCGAGATCTGGCTCCGGAGCGCCTGCTTCTCCTTCAGCAGCGTCTCCAGCGACAGCGTGGACCAGTCCAGCTTCAGCTCCTCGCACCGGGCCTTGAGCTACGCCACAGAACGGGAGGGGGTGGGTCCTGAGGGCCGCCCCGGGGACACAGGGCTCCACAAAAGGGCCTGCCCCGGGGTCCCCAGTCCGCTGCTCCCCATGAGCAGTCCCAGGGGAGCAGCACATCAGCAGGCTGACTCCCCCACCGGCCCAGTGGCCCCCACCCGGGTTCTCAGTAAAGGAGGTGAGCTGTGAGAAGTCTGTCCTCAGGAGGAGGGCCCAAGGTCTCCCATGCCCCCCACCTTGGGTTCAAGGATCCCTGAGCCATGCACCCAGCAGCCACAGGCTCTGGGGTCCCCTAGGTCTGGGACCCCCTCTGTTCCTCACAATCCTACTAGATTTTTGGCTCCCTTGAGCCCCCCACCCAACCAGCCCCAGACTCTGGGGTCCCTGCACCCCCACCGGTAGCCACACAGACGCTGGGGGGCCCTGCCCCCCCCACCCGCCGCAGACTCTGAGGGTCCTGCACACCCCCACCAGACGCATAGTCTGGAGTCCCTGCACCCCCGCCCAGCAGCCATAGAGTCCGGGGTCCCGGCACCTCACCCACCAGCTCCAGGCTCTGGGGTCCCTGCACCCCCTCACCAGCTGCAGACTCTGGCCCCGCAGCGCCCGCGTGTCCTTCTCCAGCTGCTCCGTCTGCTCGCGCAGCTGCCGGTTGTGCGCCGAGATCTCTTTCTGCGCTTGGATCAGGTCATTGTAGGTCAGCGCCTTCACGCCCAGCTGAGAACACAGTGTGGTGGTCAGGGCGGGTGGGGCGGGGGCAGCCAAGGAGGCGCCCCCGCCGCCACCTGCCCACCCCTGTGGAGGACGGCGCGGCCTCACCTCGTCCAGCTTCTGCTGAAAGAGCCTCCGGATCTCGTCCTTCTGGGCCTGGCAGTGGCCGAGCAGCTGCTGCGCGGCGCCCAGGAGCCTGGCGTTCTTCTCCTGCGGAGGCAGGCGCGTCGGAAGACGGGGCGTGGGGGGGGGGGCGCACGTGGGCCAGGACACCGGGGCACGCCGACACCACCAGGGCTGTCCAGCCCGCGACTGCCACGCCCACACGGCCCGTGGGAGGCCCAGGGCCGGCTGCAGGGGCCCGAGGGAGGGGGGACCGGTGGGGCTGGGGCAGCACCTTCTCCTGGTCCAGCAGCTGCTGCAGGTTGGCTTTATACTGCGGCGTCTTGGTGTAGGCCAGGAACTGCAGGTACTGGACCTTGAAGGACTCTGACGGGGACGGGGGGAGGGTGAGAACACAAGGCGCCGAAACCCAGGTGACAGCGGGGACACGGCCCCCGGGAGTCACCATAGGCGCACCGCGGCCCTCCCGGGCCACTGGGGGGTGGCGGCGAGCGATCTCCGACCGGCCACGGACCCCCGGCAGACCCCGCACTCACCAAGCAGCTTCTGCAGAGCGGGCGGGGTGGGGGCCAGCAGCAGCTGGTCGGGGGGCTGGCGCTGCACGCTGGGAGGTAGCTGGTAAAAGGGGCTGTGGGGCGACTTGTAGGCGTCTGCGGGGCGAGGGGGCGAGAGGGGTCCGCTCAGCGCCCGACGCGGCCGCGGCGCCCGCCCACCCCGCGCCCCGCCCGGGCCGGGCCCCCTACCCTGGGGCGAGGGCGAGGCGGCGGGCGGCTCGGCCTGCGCGTGCAGCAGCTCCAGCGGCGTCTGGCCCTTGCGGGGCTTGCGCTCGGGGTGCGAGGCGCTCAGCTTCTTGGGGCGCCCCCGCTTCCGGCCCGCCATCTTGCGCCCCTTCTTGTTCAGCTTCTTCTTGCGCGCCTTGGAGGGCGACGGCTTCTTGACGGCGGCCGTCGCGGCTTTCTCGTCCTCAGCACCGGAGTCCTGGGGGCGGGGCCGGGGCGTGAGCGGCGGGCGGGGGCGGGGCGGGGGCGCGGGTGGGGGCGGGGCGGGGCTCACCAGGGGGGGCGTCCACGGGCGCGGCGGTGGCGGAGGCGGCGGTGGCTGCGGCCGCCTTGGTCTCGGGGGCCTTGGTGGGCGTGGACGCGCTGCTCTTGCTCTCCCGCTGCTGCCGCCGCCGGGCGGCCTCCTGCTCCTCCTGGCGGGAGAGGCCGGGCGTCGGGGGCCGCTCCCGCACCCGCCCCGCGGCTCCCCGCAACCCGCCAGACACCCTTCGGGTCGCACCCCCGACCCCGCCCCTCGGAGTCCCAGGCCCCGCCCCCAGACAGCCGTCAGCCCCCAGCCGCCCATATCCCACCCACCAGACACCCTTCAGGTCAGGTCACATCCCCACCCCCTTCAGGTCACACCCCCGCCCCTCAGCCCCCCCCCCCCCCCCCCGTATCCCACCTGTCAGGCCCTTCGGACCACACCCCAACCCCCACCCTCAGACGCCCATATCCCCACCCCACCGCCCCCTTCAGACCACAGCAGCCCAGTCCCCCCCTCGGTCCCTATGCCTGTCCCCTCGCCTCGCGCAGCGCCCGTCCCTCAGGCCCCCTTCGAATATCCACCCCCCCAGCCCCGCACCCCCTTTCAGAGCATGCGCACAACCCACCCACCTTCGGGCCACGCCCCCCCTCGGTCTGCCCAGACCACGCCCCCAACTTCAGTCAGCCCCGCCCACACCACGCCCCAAGTCAGCTGGCCCTGCCTTCCGATGACACCCGCCCAACCCAATCACCATCCCCCCAAGCCCCAGAACCTCAGGGCGCTCCCCCACCAGACGGGTCTGCCATCAAAGGGCCCACCCTAATCAAGCCGTTCCAGGCCATCCCCCCCAATCCACCTTACGTTCCCCACATCCCAGCCCTCAGGGGCAGCCAGCGTCCCCTCTCAGGGGGCCACAGTGCCTCCCATCCCCAAACTCCCGCAACTGGGGAAGAAGCCCCACTTACCCTGAGTTTGGGATTTTTCAGACTAGAGAAATAGTTTTCAAGCTAAAAAAGGGAAAGGAGAGAAAAGAGGCAGAGTCTGGTCAGCAGTCAGGGACCCCACCCCAGCCTGCCCACCTGCAGGCCTCCCCACCCCACCACTCCCGCCCCTGCAAGAGGCCCCAGCACCCTGATGCGGGCTCGCGGGGGAGGGGGCACAGCCGGACTGTGCGGTCCCAGCGGCACTCACTATGGTGCGGTCGATAGTGTGTAGGTAGTAGGACACCGGCTTCCCCGTCCACGACACGGAGCCCTTCAGCGGCGACAGCTCCACCACCCGCATGATGGTGCCAATGTCTGTGTGACAGCCACAGGCACACTGAGGCCACACTGGCCGCCACCGGCCGCCAACGCCGGCCCGTGGAGAGCTGCAGGGGCAAGGTGTCCCCACGCTCACACAGGCCCAAGGACCCGAATAACACAGGGGAGGAACCAGTTCTTACCACTCAAGTTGCGGCTGTTGATTCTGAAGTTTAAGGGGGCAAAGGGCTTCGAGGACACGATCCTGCCACCTGAAACAGAAAGCCCATTGCTGCCATTCAGAGCAGAGGAAGTCATGTGTGTGCGTGCACACACACACGCACGCATGAACACACACACAAACACACAAAATCAAGCACCAGCCAGCCACAAAGGCTCATCACTCTCGTGTGAAACCCGTGGGCAAGACTCCACACTGTAAGACTCTGACCCTATGGCCCCGTTGCTAGGCAACCTGCACAGCACCCCCAGAGGAGGGCCAAGCCAGGCCCCCCCAACCCCCGGGTTAGAGCCCCGGGCCAGCAGCCCACAGCCCTGCAGACGAGGCGCTTGCTGAGGCAGCAAAGGCCCTACCTTCCTTCATGTTTGCAAACCGCTCCTTCAGCTGGTGATCCACCTCAGGACCAAAGGCAAAGTTATTCACAAATATAACACTGTAAGGCAATGTTCCGCTTCAGTGACCGGGCCAGCCAGCAAGACTCCAGACGCGCGCCCACGCCCCCTACTGGCCCTTCCGCCCCCTGCCCAGTCCCACCCAGCGCCTGCACTACCTCCACCTGCCAGCATGCCCCCCCCCCGCCCCCTACCTACTCCCAGCATCTCCCACCTCTCCGCACCTCACCTGCCCACACCAGCTCTGCCCTCCCTGACCATGCACCCCCCCGTCATCTCCACCTGCCCCACCCCGCCCTCTTCAGCCCCTCCATCCGTCCAACTGGGAACAAGGCCAGTTTTGGGGAGGGGATGAGGGTTTGGGCCACCTGCGGAGAGGCTCAGCACCCCCATCCGGCAGGGCAGGGCAAAGGGGACCAGCACACAAGCTCCTGCCCCAGCTCCGGGTGGGGAGACCAGAACCCGGGGAGGGCCCTTGCCCAAACCGGCTCCGCCTGGTACCCTGCCCAGGTCCCCACAGCCTCCGTGCCCAGGAGAACCGCCTCAGGCACCCCACAGGGTCTGCCCGGCAGCCCCCCCAACATACCTCGTGTTGGCGATTCGCTCCCTCCACTCTTCCGAGAGGAAGTCGCCTCTTTCCAGCTGGAAGGGAACGGGAAGGGGCCCGCTCAGGGGTCTGGCCCAGGGCAGCGCCCCTGCCCACCCGCTGGAGGAGACAGAGGGGCGAGGACGGGACAGAGAAGCCCGCTCCCCCCCGAATGCCCACACGGTCGAGGCCAGTCGGGGCCAATCGGGGTGGAGAATGCAGACAGAGCTGGGGGGGGGGGGGGGGAGTCAGGTCACCCGGGAGACTCCGAGTACCCGAGCCTCCACCTGGGGAGACACGGTCACGTGTAGCTGGTGTCCCCCAGACCTCACACACGGACAGGCCCATCTTCACCCCCACATCTCCTCTGGGGGGGCAAATCCCTCCCCACCCCAAAGAGCAAGGAGCAACCAGCTTCTTCCAGGGCACACACCCAGGACAGCGGTGAAGGGGCGCATGGGCACCCCAAGAACCCAATCCCCGAGACCCCCCCACAGGGAGGGACTCCAGGGATGGAAAAGTCCAGAAGAGGCCCCCCCTGCGGAGATTAGAAGTGGGTTCAGGGGCTGGAGGGGTGGGGGACACACAGCGCTCACCCACGTCTGTACCCCGGGAGATGGTCGGGATGGCCCAACCCTGCAGAGGGCAGGAGGGGGACCCCCAGCGTCCCCCAACCCCACACATGGACAGGCCCATCTTCACCCCCGCATCACAGGCTGAGTGTGTGCTGGTACCCTTTGCCCCAGAGCACCCCCAGATGACATGCTGAGCAGGGCTCCCGTCAAACTGGAGCCACTGTACACAGGAACAGGCTGGGCCCTGGGGTGCTCGCTGGCATTGCTGGGGGCCACGGTGTGGCAGGGCCGGGCGAGGGTGGGGGGCAGGGGACTGAGCAGAGGGGAAAGGTCCCGGCCTCCACTTTCCAGGGCCTGCAAGGGTCCGCCTGCTTCTAGCTCTCCACTCCTAAGAAACTTTATCTATTCGTTCATTTATATTTTGGATTTGGATCACACCCAGCAGTACTCGAGGATTACTCCTGAGATGTTACAGGGTGCTGGGAATCGAACCCGAGCTGACCGCGTGCCAAGCAAGCACTCCATCACTCCAGTCTCTTCAAGAGGGGCCACTGCGCTCCCAAACAGGCCAAGAAGGGTCTCGTGGCTACCCTCCTCCCACAGGTCGGCAGGAGAGGACGGCGGGCTAGACTGGGCTCCCTGCAAGTGCAGGTGCGGACAAACGGCGCAGTCATTCGCCTGCTCGCACCCCGCTGGTCTCGCTCATGATCTCCGGCCTCTGGGTCCTGGGGCCACAAGCCCCTTGTGGTCAGGACTGGGGGGTCCTCTTGGACATGTCCCAACACTGCACCCCAAATCGGCCAGCTCCAGGCCTGAACTGAAGCAGCCCAGTGAATGTCCAACCTGCTGGGATTCGGAACACAAAGTCCCAGCGAGCATCTACAGGGGGAGCCCCCAGGAAGCCCCTCAGCACAGGCAGGACAGGACCCCAGCCCCTTCTCTGAATTGAGGCCCCGCTAGAGGCGCCCCCCACCCCCACCCCCACCCCGGGGACCGGCCTGAAGCGTAGCCTCGGCAGGAGGCGCGCTTGGCCCGGAAGCGCAGGGACACGCGGGGACACAGAGGCGGCGATGGCAGGAGGCCTGGCTGTGCCTTCTGGGCTGGCGGGACATGCTCTATTTTTAGCCCGAGCTGGCCGGGCGCCTGGGCGCGGCAGCCTGCAGCACTCAACATGCCAAGCGGCGCCCCGCAGACCGCACAGGAAGCAGGTCCACGCTCCCGCCAGGACGCCCGTCCGGGCGCCCCTGGCCTCTAGCCTGAGCACACACACCCCCGGCGCCAAGCCCTGGAGTACAGAGGGCGTGGGGGAGGAGGCCAGAGACCCTCCATGTGCCCCTGACCCCAAACACGCCAAGCTAGGCAGCACCTCGGGGACCGGTGCTGGCCAGAGGGGGGGACCCGACAGCCCCCTCCCTCCCTCCCTCCCTCCCTCGGCAGCGCTGCACCCAGTTAGCACTGGAGGCCTCCAGGGACCTGAACAGATTTCTAAACTCAGGGCCCAGAACTGGGTGGTCCCCAACTGGAAGCAGGAAATGTTCCGCTTAATTGGGGCTTGGGGGGGTTTTGAGGTCACACCTAGTGGTGCTTGGGGCTGACTCCTGGTTGGCACTCAGGGATCATCCTTTGCGGGGCGCAGAGGGTCATATCTCAGAGGGGCCGGGGCTGGCACCTGGGTCAGCCATCAAGCAAGGCAAAAGCCCTACCTGCTGTACAACCACTCTGGCCCCCTGACAGAGGGGTGAGCCAGAAACATTGCCTGGGGGGGGGGGGGATGGTGGCAGAAGGTGACAGGCCAGATCAGCTAGAAAAGTCTGGTCCCAAGGCCCGAGGTCTGCAAGGGACCTCCTAACTCAGTCTGTGCAGACTCAGCCCAGAGGGCATCGCCTACGCAGGACCAGACCTTCGGGGAGGCGCGGGGGGGGGGGGGGGGGGGGGGAGACACACACAGTAAAGGCCCTGACTGTTACGGCAAGCTAAGACGAGACAGCAGAGTGGCAGGCGGAGCAGCTGCAGACATCCAGGGCCCCCCAGGAAGTTTGGGGCTTCCAGATGTGACCCCAGGGCACCCACCAGGGCTACGTTTTGGTTCTTATATCCTGGCGTTAGGTACAAAGGGGTTAGTCCTGGCTTTGTGCTCAGGGATCATCCCTGGCAGTGTTCAGGGGACCCTCGGGGAAGCCAGGACTGAACCCAGATCCGCTTTACACAAGAACCAGCGCCTTCCCCACTGTCCAGTCGCTCCGGCCCCTCTAGGCTGTCCCCTGGCTGCAGCACTGCAGGAGGGGGCCGGCAAGCTGAGGGTTTCAGCACCTGCCCGGGGCCCACTGCCACTGTGAGGACACACACCCTGCTGCCGCCCCTCCTGCCCACTGTGGCCACGCAGGGACCCACAGCCACAGATCCACTGGGTAGAGCCATGAAGAACGAGCGCACCTACTCGGTTCAGGGGGTGGTCTATGTGTGTGGGCCCCAATGGTGGGCTTGACAAGCGGGGAAAGGGAAGCACGGCTCGGGGTGGGAGGCTGGGGGACAGTGGGTCAATGGCATCTGGAGACGTAGAAGGGGCAGGGCTACACCAAGGGCAGTGGCGGGTGAGGTTGCCATGGCAGCAGGAGGGGCCAGCAGGCCATGGGCGGGCGAGGCTCCCAGGGCAGTGGGCGGGGCCGGCAGGAGGTGGGCGGGGCCGCCGGGAGCCGCCTTCAGCCTGGGCGGCGGTGGGCGGGGCTGTCATGGCGGTGGGCGGGGCTTGGGCCGGGGCGGGGCTTGGGCCGGGCACTCACTGTGTACTCTGCATGCTTTTTCCCGTACCATTTCATCCACTTCCGGAACTCTCGGTCCATGGTCTGCAGGGGGCAAGCGGGGTGTCACCCACGGGGTCTGGGTCAGGAAAGCCCCGTAACCCCCCCCCCCCACACACACACACTGGCCCCTGCCATCCTGGTGAACAGAACCCGGCTCAAGCAGGAGAGGGGATGATACTCAGGAAGACAGAGCGTTTGCTTGGAAACACGGACCCCAGAGCTGCCATCCCATTCTTCCATCCTAGCACACCAGCCTGTGTCTCAGCGGAGAAACCCAGCAGGAAATTCCCAGGAGCTACCTCATCTGCAGGCGTGCAAGCAAGCATGCAAGCACGCCCGCGCACAGAGAGGCAGGCTGGCCCGGAAGCGCTTACCTCCGCGTACTTGGCCGGGATGTCGGCTTTCTCCACGCCGTAGTGATGCCTGCAGTTGGTGGCCGCCGCGACCTGCAGCACCACCTGGCCCACACCTTCAGAGAAAAGCAGCTCATCAGGCAACACAGCGCAGCATCCCGGACCAGGACGGGCTCTTCTGAGGCGTGGAGGGGTTGGGGGGGGCACAAGCAACCCAGGCAGTGAGCCGTGCCCCCATCTTCTAGGGATGGGTGCTGGGAAACGGTGTATTCCTGCTCTCCAGAGTCTAGCCCACAAGTTTTAGGGTTGAGGGCGGACGGCAGGGGTGGGAGGGTCCCTGTCTGACTCGCTCATCAGAAAAGCTCCGCACAGCACTGCTGGGATCTGGGGGCCTGGGGGCAGCAGGAGACCCCATGCCATGGTGTAAGTGGGCTCAGGAGGCACAAAAAGGCCGCAAAACAAGGCACAGGATGGGCAAAACAAAGGCGAGAACCTACACAGGGCCAGAGAGACAGGGTAGCGCAGGGCACAGCCCTTACACGCAGCTGATCTGGGTTTGATCCCCGGGATCCCATAGGGTCACTTGAGCCCGCCAGGAGAGATTCCTGAGCACAGAGCCAGGCGGAACCCCTGAGCATCACCGGGTGTAGCCCAACAACAAACCAACAAAAGACCCCTGTGCCCTGGGCCGAGGGTGGGGGGCGCGCAGATGACTCAGAGAACAGGCTGGAGCTTTTGCTCTGCGTGCAGCGCCTGGACCCAAGCACACGGCTGGGAGCAGCCCCCGTGCACCGCCAGGTTTGTCCCATCGAGAGAAAGCAGAGAAAAAAAAGCAGCGCACGACATGGAGGAAAGCCAAGTGTCCTGCTGGTGGAACACATCAGCCACCTGAGCTGCGACCACGTGGACACCACCAGGAGTCACCTCTGGTCCCGTCAACAGGCCCACCCTGGGACAAGGATGGGAGTTTCAGGGTGCTGAGCGCGAGGCTCTGCGATCAGAGCTGGGGTGAGAGCATGGCGGGGAGGGTGCTTGCCTCGCATGTGGCCGACCGGGGTAAGATCCCTGATACGCCAGAAGGTCCCCTGAGCCAGGAGTGACCTCTGAGCACAGAGCCAGGAGTAAGCCCTGAGCACTGCTGGGCGTGGACCGGGGGGCAAGACGCCCACCCCGAGGGTTGTGACGGGTGGGCGGGCGCACATAGCAAGCAGGGTTTGGCCATCGGCGTGGCCCAAGGGGGGAGGGCTGGGGCGGCGGGGAGACGCAGATCAGCCGTGGGCCAGGGGCAGGCGTGAGTGCACCCAGCCAACTGCGCGGGGAGGACCTGGGCCGTCCCAGGGGCGGTCCCGGGGCAGCCGCTCACCACTGCCCAGGTCCACGAACAGGTCGTCCTCGGTCATCTTGATCTCGTCGATCATCTGTGCCACCAGGTCAAAGGACGTCTCGCCGTACACCTCGGGGGAGAAGGGCTCGTAGTTGTTGAGCTTCTCGGGGTCGGTCACGGAGTGGTTGTACACCTGCTGCAGGATGTGCCGCAGGAGCCCGTTGGACGGCCGCGTGTTCAGCTTCATGGGCTGCGTGGTCCCCTTCCACTGCGGACAAGGACCAGGGGGTGGGGGGGCTGCTGGGGCCGCCAGCCGCGGGACTCCGCGCCGTGGCGGCCCCTTCACCCCACCCCGCATGCAGCCGGGAGTGTGTGGGGGCTGCAGGCCCTGAGGGGCTCCCTGGGCACCTACCAGCTGGTGGATGCTGTCGATGGCCCGGTTGTACTTGTCGCAGAGCCTCTGCATGCTCTCAAAGCTGCAACGCAAGGGGGCACCCGGCTCAGGCTGGGCACGGGAAACCCCGTCTTCCCCACCCGCTCCCCAGATCCAGCCCGAGGGGCACCTTCACCAGAGAACCCCCAGGCCCTGGGAAATGCCCCCCCCCCACACTCCACCCCTGGTCCTGAGGGTGAGCGTCACACGCCTGCCTGTGACGTCAGGACCGCGGGTCAGCTCCCCTGACCCAGTGTCTCGGGGTGTCTGTACCATCACAGGGGCATCTGCCTCCACCGGGGGGTTCAGGAAAGCTGCTCACAACCCACAGTGCACAGTGCCCAGAGGGCCCAAGAGGGAGCCCAGACAGCAGCAAGGCCAGGAGCACGGGGAGCCCTGTGGCAGCCCTATGGACGGGAGCACACGGGTATCCACGTGGAAGGGGAGCACCTGGGGGTCCGTGTGGAAGGGAGCACCTAGGGACACATGTGAAAGGGAGCACCTGGGGGTCCTCTGGAGGGGAGCACCTGGAGATCTGTGTGGAAGGGGAGCACTGGGAGTCTCTTTCTACTCCACCTAACAGCACCAGTGGCGCTTCCTGCAAGGGTCAGGCAGTGGCCACAGGGGGTTGGCCGGCTCTCTAAAGGAGAAGAGGGACCCCCACACTAGAGCCCAACCGCCCATCCCCCACCCGAGACCCTGAGCACTGTGGAAAGCTCCTGCCAGGGAACCCCAGCACAAAAGGATCAGGGGTGACACATGTCTCAGTGCGAGAGGGCACAGGCAGTGGCCCACACCGGGAGACTGGTTGGGGCAGGGGCCACAGTGGAGCCCGGAACAGGGCCTGGGGGCCACGCCCTGGCCAAGAGCCCCACATGGAAGGGGCAGGTGTGCGTGTCCCACTCTCCCACAGTCGTAGGGGCCAGATGTTACCTCTGTTGCTCCATGACCACCCTCATAACTCCCCTTTCAGCTGGACCTGAGGTCCCACATGACTTCAGGACAGAGGCCCGGCCTGCCCACAAAACAGGGCGTCCTTCCCAGCAGGTGCCTGGCCGTCCTCAGGCAGGACATGTGGTCCCAGTCACAGTGGCAAGGAGGAGCCAGGAACTGTCACCTCCTATGTTTGTTTTGTTTGGGGGCCACGTCCGGCTTTGCTCAGAGCTTACTCCTGACTCTGCGCTCAGGGCTACTCATTCAGGGTTTGGGAGACCCTATGGGATAACAGGATTCGAGCCCGGGGCGGCTGCATGCAAGGCAAGCGTCCTCCCGGCTGGACTATCGCTTGGGCCCCATCCTCTGGTCTTTAAAACCAAGTGCTGGGACCAGCTCGCAGACAGGGACACGGGCTTTGGCGCAGGAGGCCTCCCTCACCCTCACCCTCACCAGCGATGTCCCAAAGATCCGGAAGGAGCCCCCAGATACGGCTCCAAACACATACCAAAAATACCAAGGGAACAGAGACATTGCACAGCAGGACGGGTGCTGGCCTTGTAGGAGACTGACCCAGGTTCAATCCCTGGCATCTCACAAGATCCCTGAAGGCAGAGCCAGGAGTCGGCCCTGAGCACCAATGGGTGTGGCCCTACCATAAAAAAAAAAAAAAGCAAAAGGGCCCAGCTAGCTCCCACCTTGACCCTTGGCCCCGGGTGTGGGGGCTACCAGCCAGCATAGGTACGGCAGGAGGACAGACCCTTGCCAAGGGCTCACCCTCAGGGTCCTCCAAGGGCCCACAAATACAGAGGCAGGGGCTGGAGTGATTGCACAGCGGGTAGGGCGTTTGCCTTGCATGTGGCCGGCCCAGGTTCGATCACCGGAGTCCCATATGGTCCCCCGCGTACCGTCAGGAGTAATTCCTGAGTGCAGAGCGAGGAGTAACCCCCCTGAGTATCACTGGGAATGACCCAAAAAGTTAAAAAAAAGAAAAAAGACAGCAAATACAGGGGGCAGCAGCGGGAAAGGGGCGCCCGGCACGCTCACCTTTTCGTATCGTAATCGATCAAGACGTAATTCTCCATGGCCAGCTTGAGGTCCGGGATTTCTTCGCACACCCACCTGGAAGCAGATGTGGAAAAGGTGAGCTCAGGGAGCCCCGGCGGGAGAACAAGGCCCGCGGCACTCCTGGGGCGCACCCTACCCCGGAAGCCCTGCCAGTGGCCACAGGTGACCGTGCTCAGCCCCTCCCGTTGCAAGTGAAGCGGCAGGCTCACACCCGAGTCAGAAGTGACCGCTCTCCCCGGCCCACGTTGAGAGTGATCCCAGCAGACACGCGTTGCAAGGAAACGACCAGGGGACCCCGGGGAAAGAGCTGACCCACAGGGACTCAGCCGCGCAAAGCTGCCGGGGAGGGGGGAGGGGAGGCGACACAGGAGACAGGTGTCAGGCAGCGGCTGACCAGGGCGCCCTCAGCGAGACGGCCACGCCCTGGAGGGGAGGACAGAGCGCCGCGCCCCACGCTCGGTCCCAGAAACGAAAAAAGAAGAAATAGGGTCACGTGGTGACTGCAGGAAGTGGTCTAGACCCCTCCCGCACATACGCACAGTCACACACTCACCTTCGCACACACACATGCTCTAACACACACACACACACACACACTCACATTCACACACGCATATTCACACTCTAATACTCTCAAATACACACACTTGTGTACATTCACACACTCACACGCTAATACAGTCACAGTTTCGCATTCACACACACACACACACACATCCATGCTCAGACTCTAATAGTCTCATACACGCAATCACATTCACTCATTCACACGTACTCACACACATACTCATACTCAGACCTTCGTACACACATCCACACACACTAATCTTCACGTCCTCACACACACTTATACCCTCACACTTGCATTCTCTAACACACACACACACACACACGCACACACACACACAGGGCCAGCTAACACCCCTGCCTGTGGGTCCAGCGCCCACCTCCCAGACCCCTGCAAACGTGGCCAGGGTACACAGCTCAGCAGCGGAGTCACTGCTGGGTACGGAACGTGGGAGGGTTCGGTATCTACACACCGGAGTTCCAAGTCAAGCTTAACAGGTGTGTGGGGCCACCATCCTGCACACCCTCGGCTTCTGGCTAACTGCCCCTTCCGGCCCGGAGACCCCAGCCACCATGGGCAGAGCTGGGCGCCCCAGAGTCCTAGGGGCCCACTCGTCCTGCCCAGACCTGTCCCCACCGAGACGGCAGAGGACCACACAAACCCATCGCTGCACACAAGCCCTGGCCGAGGGATTTGCAGAGAAGCCTCGAGAACACGGTGAGCTGCGCGAGGCAACCGGCGGGGAACATCCCAAGAAACAGCCGGGGTGACCCAGACAGGAACCTGCACATCAGCGTTCCTAAGGCCAGCAGGACGGCACTGGGGGGGGGGAACACGGAGAAGGGGAAGGAAGAGCAGCAGGGGGCTGGGGAGCCCAGTGGTGTTCGCAGACTGGAGGTTCCACCACCCCACCCGAACCCCACCCCCGCGGCGCTTCCTGGACGGTGCCGGGGAGAGGTGTCCGGGCTGGGGCTGGCGTCCATGTCAAAAAGCTGACCAGGCCCTCACAAGCTCAAACCCCCTGATCCACACCCCTCAAACTGGACAGCCAGCCACGGCAGGGTGAGGGGGACGAGGAAGACTTTCTAGCCAGGGCGGTGGGGGGGGGACACTGGGGTGCGTGATTTGTGTGTCGGAGGCCTAGACTCTTTCGCCGCATTGCACGGTCCCCAAACACTGCCAAGAGTGGCCCGAAGGGGCCGGGATAGTCCAGCACGGAGGGTGCTCTGCCTTGCACGCAGCCAAGCCAGGTTCAACCCCTGGCACCCTATACGGTCCCGAGCACAGCAAGGAGCGATCCCTGAGTGCATAGCCAGGAGGAAGCCCTTAGCATTGCCAGGGTGTGGCCAAAAAGAAAAAAGAGTCCCCTGCCCAAACCAGAAATGAATAACTAAAAATAAGGTGGGAAACCGGCAGTCTGACCAAGGGACCAGATCACAATGCCGATGAGGGGGACAGAGGGGCTGCCCAGACAAGACGTCCCCATTCACCCGCCACCTGAGGACCCACCAATACTCAAAAAAAAAAAATTGATTTTTGTCAATAATCGAGGTGATCCTCGTAACTCTGCGAGTTTCCCCAAACTGACCGGAACCTTGGGGCTGCTGTCACTGGCTTTTGGGGAGCCCCAGCCAACGGCACAGCTCAGCCCCTCTCTGTGGGTCACTGCCAGTCCTTCTGAACCCCATACACAGAGCCGGCAGGAAGACCAGGAAGCACCCGAAAAGGCTCACCCCACACTTTGATCCCCAGTCTGCACTGGGTCCCAAGTTCGATCCCCAGCCCTGCGGATGTGGCCTGGAAGGCCTCTGAGGGTGGGCACAGGGGATCCCAATGGTCACTGACACTGCAGGAGCCATGCAGTGAACCAAGCCTTGGCTGGTCAAGTAGCTCCAGGAGAGCTTCCTAACCCCCAACCTCCGCCCTCCGCCCCCCATCACCACCTGGAAGAACCCCCTCAAGTGAAATCAGTACAATAAGATCAAAGAGCCGGATGACAGTACAGCGGGGAGGGCATTTGCCTTGCATGCGGCTGACCTGGGTTCTATCCCTGGCATCCCATCTGGTCCCCCAAGCACCGCCAGGAGGAATTCCTGAGAGCAGAGACAGGAGGAACTGGGTGTGACACAAAAAGCAAAAAAAAAAAAAAAAAACCAAATAAAAAAGTTAAAAAGTTAAGATAAAAATAAAGCAAAGTAAGACAGTGAAATAAAAACAAAAGCAGGCTGCCTTGCATATAGCTGACCTGGGTTCGACTCAACACCCCATAGGGCTGCCCAACCCTGCCAGAGGTGATCCCAAAAAACAAAGTTTCTTTAAAAAGCAATGGGGGGGTGATGGGGGGGGCTGGAACGATAGCACAGCGGGCAGGGCGTTTGCCTTGCACACAGCCGACCTGGGTTCAATCCCCGGCATCCCATATGGTCTCCCAAGCGCCGCCAGGAGGAATTCCGAGTGCAGAGCCAGGAATACCCTGAGCACTGCTGGGTGTGACCCAAAAAAAGTAAAAAAAAAAAAAAAAGAGGTAATAGGGGGGATGGGCTGGAGCGATAGCACAGCGGGTAGGGCATTTGTCTTGCAGGCGGCCGACCTGGGTTCGATTCCCAGCACCCCATATGGACCCCAAGCACCGCCAAGAGTGATTCCTGAGTGCAAAGCCAGGAGTGACCCCTGTGCATCACCGGGTGTGACCCAAAAAGAAAAAAAAAAGCAATGGGATAAAACTAATGAAGTCAAGAGTGAAAGCAGTGTGGCTAGGAGTCCAGGAGACCCTGGCCCTGTGCACATCTCAGCCCGGGTCTGATCCCCATCACCCCAAGGGCTCCCTCCTGAGCACAGAGCCAGGCACGTCCCAAGCACCAGAGTGTGGCCCCAACCTGCCCACCCCCCACCGCCAAATAAACTCACTATAAAATCAAAAAACCCGCGCGCACCCTTTAGTCGGTCCTACCCCGCAGCGGTAAGAGGCAGCCGGACAAGCCACGGCACTCCCGCTGCGCCCCGAACCACCGCACGGTGAGGCCAGGAACACGGGGACCACCGGGAGGCGAAATGACAGCGGCCTAGTGATCTGCCCCACGCCCACCTTGGGACCCTGACACCAGCGGCCCCCCAAACCAAGCCGTGAGAGATCACTGCCAGTGAAGGCGGTCTGCTGCCCGGGCCACCACCTCAGCAGCCAGCAGACCAGAGGCCTGGGCCCCCAGCACAGCGACTCAGAGTGACACTCGTGGTCTGGGGAGCATCACCAGCCTGAAGCACACACTCCGAGCCCCAGCTTTGCCACTCAGGAACCCCGTGAAGATGACAGTCCCTTCCAGGAAGAGATGGGGCTCTGGGCCCGACCAGAGCCCCATCTCAGGGCCCTGGCTGCAGAGAGGCAGGTAGGACCCCCACCTACCTCTGCAATCGCCCCCACCTCTCCCCCTGAGGGGCCTCCCAAAGCCCCTCAGAATGTCGACCACATGGCAACGGATGGGAATGGATGATCGCTCAAAGGCTGGGGCAGCACCTGGGATGAGCCGAGCTCAGACAGAGCCTCATTCCCACCAGGGCCCGCGGCTGAGACAGCCTCGTTCCAGACAGAGCCGTGTTCCCCGGGTGAGGCTGTCTGCAGGAGTAACTGCGGGGTGCAGTACTCGCATCTGTCTGGGAAATCAGACACGCTAATGACTGGGAAGGCGGATGCTACATTCGCTCCCTTCCACAGAAAGCCCAGAGCACCAGGGCAGTGCTCACAAAGGCAGGTTGGAGAGAGCGGGGCACGGGCCCCAGCCCCCGACACAGAGGGCCTCACCCTGGGACTCAGTGATGACCAAGAAGCATCTCTCAGCTCAAGGCTCCCCCAAACCCACAAAGTCTGAGCTCCAAAAAGGCTCCCGCCCAGGCACCCCCATTTCCTAGACAGCCCAAAGACCCCAGATGAGGCTCTGCCCGGGAGGTCCTACCTCTTCTGTTAAGTCCCATAGTCCCAAAGTGTTCCCACCAGATCCCCGCCCCAACCCAACCCCAAAATCCAGCCTAACGCAGGCCCCCAAGAACCCACCCCACCGCCTATGTTCTGTCCCAAGCACTGTAGGCGCCCCTGGGGTTCCCCCAGACCCCGCCCATCCAGGAGGCCACGCCTCCACCCGTAAGCCACGCCCGTGTCTGGCCACACCCCTGTCTGACCACGCCCACCGGGCCTGCCCCAGCAGGGGCTGCGCTTCGCTTGCTCACCGGATCGTCTCGATGATTTCGTGAGCAGCATCGTGGTGTTTGTCCTGAAAGGCAAAGGACAGGGTTCAGAGGCGGCCGGCCAGCCCTGCGCCCACCAGGAATGCTGGGCCTGGAGAAGGGGCGCTGCACCCTCACCCTTCCCAGCTCTTCCTTCTCCACCCACGGAGTTCCCAGTCGCAAGCGCCGCAGGGCCGGGAAACAGGTGGGCGGCCCACAATCAGGGACTCTTCGGGGAGACCCTGACCTGGGGGGGGGCATGCCAGTCCGGGCAGGGCGTTTCCCACCACAAACAAGGTCCCTCCCCAGCGGGCAGTGGGGAAGGGGCAGGGATGACATATCTATGACCTCTCAACCCAGGTGCACACACATTCCCAGCTGGCCCCTTAGCAAGCTCTCAGTGCCTGCACCGGGCAGAGCCACGCCCATCCCTCAGACCACGCCCAGCAGCAGGGCCACACGAGGCCACACCCACCAGGCAATGCCACGCCCACCCAGCAGTAAGTACCACCCCTGGCGTATGCCCACCCCCAGAGGGGCCCACACTTGACAGTGCCCACACGGAACTCCCCGAGCCGGGCACCCACTGAGAGGGTTTTTAGCCCTGAAAAGTCTGGGCCTGTTTCCCCGTTTTTTTCGGCCTGAAATTCTGGGCCCCTCTACCTTATCCAGAGCACTCAAAACACGTGTCTGAGGTCCCTGTGTCTCGGGATGAAGCTCAGGGTCAACCAGCCTTGCCCCAGGGCCTGGACTCAGCAGCCCCAGGCTGGGGCACAGGCCAGGCGGGGACAGTGGTGCCCTCTGCCTGGCGCTCTGCACTGGGAAGATGCTGAAGTCCCCGGGCCGGAGCAGGAAGCTACAGGATGTTCACCAAGACCCGACGGGGAAGCGACAGTACATGCGGGAGGCCTCAGCTCTGAGCCTCGGAACCCAAAGCTGAGATCCTGGAGCCGATCACACGGCCCAGAGGCTGCAGAGACAGCACAGCGGGCAGTACATCTGCCTTGCAGATGGCAGAGCCGGTCCAAACCCCGCACCCCACACAGCCCCCTGAGCACTGCCAGGAGTGATTTCTGAGCACTAAACCCAGATTAAGCCCTAAGTACTGCTGGGTGTGCCCCCCAACCCCCCCCCAAAAATAACTCAGAGCTCCTGTGCAGGCTTCATGGGGACACTGTGGGTGACCCAGCTGCAGTTCGGGGATCCCCGCCTTCCTGAGGGAACCCCATGCGGATGGCAGATCACAGGCAGTTCCCACGGAGTGCAGGCCCCAGGGCAAAGCTGACCCTGTAGCAGGAGGTGGGGCAGTCACCGCCTGAAGGACTCCGGCCCAATCAACCTTTTGGTGACCCTTGTCCCCTGCCGCAGCCCTCGGATGGGCCAGGGAGCGGCAGCAGAGCAGGCCCAGGGGCCTCCCTGGGGCACCAAGCCCTCCAGCTGCCCAGATGCCCGCCACCAGGCAGCACCCCCCCCTTGAACCCAGATGACACAGGCCACTACCCCTCTGGGCCCCTCCCGCTGGCGCCTGCAGCAAGCCCAGGGGCCAGCAACGCCCCAGACCACCACAATGGTTTGCTAACCTCAAGAGCCGCACTGCGGCACCTCTGTAGAAGCCCCAAGTTCGAGCCCAGTCCAAAGAAAGAAAAAAATGTCACAAGGAAGTGACGCCAGAGCCAAGGTCCCCATGAGGTCAGCAGGGACACGAACACATCCAGAACAAGCCCCATCCCCCCCCCACCGGCCCCCACCCTGACCCTGCCCAGGAGGCCCCACACACGCCATGGGGGGTACACAGGGCAGTGGGTAGGATATCTCTCTCTCTCTCTCTCTCTCTCTCTCTCAGGAAAGCATCCACAGAACTGTTCTCCTGCAGGGGTGTATAGGAGCAGCCTGTGCCCCCCCCAAATACACAGGGACACACCCCACCCATCACAGGAGCAGGAACATGAGCTGCAACCCCCACGTGGGGAGCCCCCAATCCACCATCATCACGAAGGGGGGGGCCCTGCGGTGCGTATCCATGACAACGGAGCTCAGCAATCCGGGTGATGTGGGGACACAGCAGGCTCCTGGGAATGTCAGATCCACAGCTCACTGCATCCCGGAACCCCAGCCGCGTGCCCCCCCCCTTAGGGGCAGGGGGCCAGCTGGTGGCAGGGCTGACCTTTGTCCCGTCCTGGGGGAGTTGGCAGCTGAGTCAGCCACCCAGGTTCCTGGGTGTCCCCCCCCCCCCCGTGCCCGCACATTTGGTGACTCAGCTCTGGGGGCTGTGACTCAGCCATGGGGTGAGGGGGGCTGGAGGGTACAAGGGACACCTGTTCTGTAAGGCCCCGGGAAGGTGGCGCCCAGAAGATGCAGCCTTGGAAGCCCCTCAGTGAGCAGCTCAAAGTCAGGGCCCACGGGGTGGGGGGCTGAGGCCGGGCCGAGCTGGGCTGCCGGGCACCCCAGAGCCAGGGATCCCGAGAATGATGCGGAGGCAGAATCCAGCAGGCCCTACTGGGGCACCCTCCCTGAGGGCTGTGCACCTGGTACAGGGCACAGCGGCACTCCAAAGGCGGCACACAGGCATGTGTGCGCGCACACGCACACGCACACACACACACACACACCTACAGCTGCTGCCAGTAATACAAACACACATACACACACATTGACACACAGTACCTACAGCTGTCTCCAATCACACAAACGTACACACGGACCTACAGCTGTCTCCCTTCACACACATATAGCACCTACAGCTGTCTCCAGTCACACAAACATGCGTGCACACACAGAGCACCTACAGCTGTCTCCAGTCACACACACACACACACACACACACACACACACACAGAACCTGCAGCTGTCTCCAGTCACAGAAACCACCCCAACCACCTGCTGTTTAGTTTGGGGGCCCACACCCAGCAGTGCTGAGCTTACTCCTGGCTCTGCACTCAGCAATCACACCTGGTGGGACTAGGTGAACCCTGTGGGGTACAGGGTATCAACCCAGGATTGCGGTGTGCAAGGCTAGCACCTCCATGCTGTCTGATGGCTCGGGCCCCTATCTACCCTGCCATGTGTGCGCGCGAACACATGCACATGCACATGCACACACGCACACGCACACGCGCACACACACACACACACACACACACACAGCTCTAGCCCTAACAGTACCATGACCCCCGAGACTCCAGCCTGCATCCTCACCCACCTGCCATCCCCTCCCACCCGGTCAGGCTGAGTGCCAGGAAAGCACAGGGACCCCCTAGGAGAAGCCCGAGAGTGGACCACCAGGCAACTGCAAACACCCACCGCGTCCATACAGCAGGTTCCTGCAGCCTAATGCTGGGAAGGGTGAGCGGCGCTGAACCTCGCAACACGTGGGCACCCCCAAAGTTCAGGACACACACAACAGCAGCAGCCCCCCGCCGCCCCCGGAAGGGCAGGGTCCACAGCAGGAAGTGGGGGCCTGGGCCCGGGGACTGGAGGGGGTGGGGCTTCCTCTGGATGTGCCGGGGCTGGGTGGGGGTGTCAGACCTGCTGGGGTCACATGTCGCCAGGAAGAGCCGTAGACACAAATGGGGGCTGTGCCCAGCACAGAGGTCACGCCCGGAGCAAAAGTCCATCGGGGAGCCCCACGGCCCAGGGGCAGGAGAGAAAGGTGCTAAGAGGGGCCGAAGCTGGTCAGAGAGAAGGGCCCCCCCACACACACACTGCTCCAGAGGCCCACCAAACCAAAATAAGTCCACTCAAGAAAAAGAGGGCTAGAAAGAAGAACTGCGGGGAAGGCGCTGGCCTTGCACACGGCCGACCCAGGTTCAATCTCCAGCATCCCGTAGGGTCCCCCAACCCTGATAAGCGATCCCTGAGCGCAGAGCCAGGAGTAACCCCTGAGCATCACCAGCTGTGGCCGCCCCCCACGCAAAAATAAAAAAAAAGGTGCGCTGAAGAGATAGAAGAATGGGCAGCGGGTTTGATTCCCAGCACCCCATATGGTTCCCCTGAGCCCACCAGAAGTGATCCCTGAGTGCAGAGCCAGGAGTAACCCCTGAGCTGAGCACTGTCAGGTGTGCCCAGCCCCAAAAAAGAAACAGATCAGTAAGGAGGAACGGTCAGGATGAAAAGCGCTTGCCTGGTACCCCGCCAACCTGGGCATGTCCATCCCCGGCACGAAACAGGGTCTGGGTCCCCCCGAGCACAGCCAGGCGTAGTCCAAAACCCCCAAAGGGAAGAATCCCACGGGACAGGAGCAACCAGCATGAGAGCCCAAAGCCTTGGAAAGAACAGGGGGTCCCTAGGGAGATGGGGAAGGCTGGAAAGAACAGGGGACCCAGGGAGAAAGGGGGGCCACGGAGACATGGTTGATACTGGGAAATGAAGAAAAAAATCAGGTCCCCTCTGCACCCTTCCGAGTGTAGTGACCCCCCACTACCCGCAGCTCCCCGTGTGTGGGGACAGAGAAGGGGACAGAATGGGGAGGAAGTCTCTGTTACCCCCTTCCCCTCTCAGCAGCCCACACGGATGAGCAGGAATGTGGGCACTGGGCCGTGTCCTGACCCACATCCCTCCCTCATGGGGGAAACGGGACAAACACCTACACATGTACACACACAGTCACACAACCGCCCCCCCCACCAGGGCCCCCATCGAGTCACCGCATGATTCAGAGGAAAAGGTCACAGCGCCAGTGGCGGGGGGGATGCCCCGAGACTGGACCCCGTGGCCCTACCAGATACCAGGCTGCCCACACAAGGCAAGGGGGGGTGAGCTGGGGGAGACGGGGTGTCCTCTGAGTCAGGGATGCTGGCTCAGCGCTGCCCACCTCTGCCACTCCCCCAGCGGCCGGGGGGAGGGGGGGCGCCAGGGACACGCACCCCCACCCCGGCTTAACCGGCCACAGAGTAGCAGAGCCCGCGGTGCCCTGCTGCCAACACCCCCAAAACTCTGCCCCTCCCGGTGAGTCGGCCCACTGTTCCCAAATGCCCCGGCGGGCGGCTGGTCGCCGTGGGAACGGGGACAGGAGCTGGTGGAGGCGGCTGGCCCTGGCCCTTCCTGGCCTCGCCCGGGGCCCAGCTGGCAGCCCCACCCTCCCTGACCTCAGCTGACCCCGGGGCCTGCGGGTGCGGCTGGTCCCCTTCCCGCCCCTCTGTGGACAGTTCCGGAGGGCCCGGGGCTGGCCGGAAGGTGCCCAGTTTGCTGTTCAGTACAAACACCCAAGGCCAGACAGCATTCGCTGCCCTTCCCTGGCTCTGCTTAGAGGAATCCGGGTGAGTCTGGGGCGCAGAGGGGAGCCCACGGCAGAAAGGTGGGACCCTTGGGAAGCCACGCCCCCACTGAGGCACTGCAGGGTCCCAGGGCTATAAGGGCCTGGGAGAGCAGCACCTAGAGAAGGGGCAATCCCAGTTAGGCCATTTATGGGCCCACCCCCCTGCATCAGACACCCCCCCCCCAGCCCTGGGGGCGGGAGCGGAGCCCATCCCGGGTCTTCCCAGCAGAAAAGTCACCTGCAGGACCAAAAGCTGCAGGGCCAGAGGTCAGAGAGATGGGACAGCGGGGGAGGGCTTTTGCCTTGCAAGCACAGCGGACCTGGGTTCGATTCCCACATCCCAAGAGCCCCGAGAACGCCACAGAAGTGATCCCTGAGCACAGCGTCAGGAGTCAGCCGTGAGCATCAGCTGGGTGTGGCCCCCAAAACATAAATAAAAACAAAACCTGCAGGGCTGGTGGGTGAAGGAAGGGCTCCTAATCCCCCCCACCCATCCCTCAGGTCCTGCCCTGAAGGCAAATGCAGTGTCCCACAGCCAGAGATGGGGACCCTCAGGGTGCCCAAAGGGAGGCAGAGGTGGGGGTGGGGGGGTAGCACAGGACAATCCCACCACCTTCGGCAGGTGGAAACTCCCCAAAGGGGCAGGTAGAAAGACAAAATGAGGGCCTGGACCAAAGCATAGCAGGAGGGTGCTGGCCCTGCACGCAGTGGACCCGGGTTTATCTCTGTCACCCCAGAAAGGCACCTAAGCACCACCAGGAGTGATCCCTGAGTGCAGAGCCAGGAGCCAGCCCTCACCTCTGACAACAGCATTCAAGTGAATGAAAGAGGCATCAGCGACACTTTGGGCTTGGAGGGGGTGGGGCCTCGGCAGGGCACCCCCACGCACGCAGGAGCCCGCAGAGCCGCCGCACGTGCTCAGTTCCATGACAGCGGCACCACCAGGGTGACCTCCAACAAGCACCAAGCCTCGAGGGAGTAAAGCGAGGAGTTGGGGGAACTTATCAACTCATGCCCCGCCGCCAGGTCGCCCGGATTCCAGCCCCAGCTGCAAGCCCAGCAGTCGTTCCTGGGGGCACCTCCAAAAGCGGCCCCCAAACAAACCAAACTTTCACCAAGTGCAAGGCCAGGCCTCTCGAACGGTTCGGAGTGGCTGCCAACCGGCATCTTTCACACGCGCGGGGGCCAGACAAGCCCTGGGCGGGGATCGCGTCCGGCCCTGGGTATCCGCGCCCTGCCCAAGCGCTCAGGCCGCCGCCCGGGACGGTCCGGCCCCGGAGCTGCCCAACCGGAAAAGCCAGAGCCCGGAGCCTCGGGTCGCCTCCGGCGGCTCCGGATGAGCAGAAATAGGAAAGCGACGGGCGGAGGCGAGTGCGCGCAGGCGCGCGCGCGCGCGCGCGGGTGCGGCGGGAAATCTGGGGGGCCCGGGGTGGGGTGGGGGGTCCGGCGCCGGCTGAGACCCGGGGCGCTCCCCAAGCACTCGCCGGCTCCAGACCCCGCCCCCGGGCGCGACGTTTCCAAAAACTGACACCGGCCCCAGCGCGCGGGGCGGGGCGGGGCGGCGCGGGGCGGGGCGCGCGGGCTTCCCCGCCGGTTCCCCCGCGAGCCGCGCGCGCCAAAGGGCGCCCCAAAGACATCGGCCGGGCCTGGCGTGGGCGCGGGGACGCCGGGGCAGCTCCGCGCCCCGACGCCCGGGTGGACACCGGGTCCGGGGTGGGGGCGGCCGCGGCGCCCCGGAGGAGTGCGGGAAACCGTCCCTTGTAAATTTCCACTGGGCTGTCATTTCCCCAACGGTCACTCCAGAGCTGGGACCCGCCACCGCCGGCCGAGCCGGGCACCCCCCGAGGGATAACTGAAAAGGGCAAGCACTCGGCAGGACACCTACCCGCCAGGACCCCCACGCTCCAGGATTAGGAGACCACGACCCACGGGGAGGGGGGCTCGGGCGGGCGGCGTGACCCTCCAAAGAGTAGGAGACAGACGCCCACCCACCAATCCGGGGGAGTCAGCGCTCCCCTTCCAGTGCAGACAGACGCCCCCGCGGCTCGGGGGTCCGGCCAAGTGGGGAGCCGAGGGGGAGTGGGTCCCATCGCCCCGACCACCCTCCCCAGGGCCGGTTCCCCGCAGGCCGGTGAGAACGCGGGGGGTCCCCTTGACAGCGCGAACGTCCCCAACATCCCGGGAAGTGCCCCAAAGCGGGAGGCGCCTGCTCGGGGCCGGGGACGGGGGGGACAGTGAGGGTCCCGAGGGCTGGGGGACTGGACGGGGAGGGTGTCCTGGGGTCGGGGGGCAACGGCAAGCGCCGGCTCGGGGCGTCCAAGAGCGGCGCGCACGAGGAGGCTGCAAACGGCCGGCGCCGGGGAGCCGCGGGGACGGCGGACGGGGGCTGGGGGCGCGGAGGGGGAAGCCCGGGCGGGCGGGGGTCCCGGAGCGGGGCCCCGGGGGACACTCACGTAGACCGGCAGCGGCCACGGGTAGACGGCGGGCTCGGCCCCCACGGGCGACTTGAGCCTCAGCTCCAGCTTCTCCCCCATGTCGGCGCGCGCGGCCGCCGCACCATGCTAGTCGGGCGGGTGGGGGAGGGGCGGCGGGCGGGGGGGCGGGCGGGGCGGGGCGAGCGCGGCGGGGGGCGGGCCGAGCGCCGGGGTGGGGGGCGGGCGGGCCCCGCGCGCGGGGGGGGAGGGGGGCTGCGCCGCCGCCGCCGCCGCCGCCGCGCCGCCGCGCCGCCGCGCCGCCGCGCCGCCGTCCGTCCGTCCGTCCGTCCGTCCGCCCGCGCGTCCGGGGGGCGCCCCGGGGCTCCCTCTTTGTGCTCACAGGCCCGGGGCCGCCAGCGCCGCCGCCATCTTGGGCCGGCGGGGACGCGAGCACAATGCGCCGGGGCCGGGCGCGACCACTCGGCGCGCGCGTGCGGGGGGGGCGGGAGGAAGCCGGCGCCGGGCGGCGGCGGCGCGCGCCGGCCCGCGCCCCCGCGCGCGCCCCCGCGGCCGCCCCGGAAGGTGGACTCGCCCGCGCGCCCGCGTGACGTCAGCGCGCACGCGCGCACGCGCGTCCTCGGCTGCCCTTCTGGGTTGCGGGGCCCCGGCGGCCGCCAGGATCCCGTGCGGGGCGTTCGAATCCCGCCGTCGGAGGACAGCGCGCCTGGGCGAGGACCGACGGGGGCGGCCTGGGCGGGACGCAGACTGCCCGGACGGCCACCGTGATGTGCGACGACCTTGTTGTGTGTTTTGTGCATGTGGGGGCCGGGGGTTGAGGGGTGGGGCGGGGTGGGGGGCCATGCCCGGGGGTGCTCCTGGCTGACTCCTGGCTCTGCCGCGCTCAGGGATCACTCCTGGCGGGGCTCGGAAGACCCAGTGGGGTCCCACCGGTCGAACCCGGGTGGGTTGCGAGCGAGGCAGGTGCCCTCCCCGCTGGGGAATGACGCCTGTGTCTTCTGCATGTTAATATGTCCTTCTGCATGTGCAAATGTAGGTAAGGGAGCAGGCAGGTAGGTAGGGCAGGGCCCCCCATGGCCCTGGAATTCCTGGGAAGTAATAAAACCAACTAGTCCTGAGGCTCTCAGGACCCACCTTGTGGATCGGAAACTAAGAACTGATAAGACCTTTCCCTGGGGGGGTGGTATGGCGGTTCCCCTTGCTCAGTTTGATCCCCTGCATCTCATAGGGTGCCCTGAGCACCTCCTCGGTAATCCTGAGGGCAGAGCCAAGAGTAACCCCTGAGCATCTCAGGATGTGGCCAAAAAAAGACCTTTGCCTGGTGCCAGTACAGACCAGAGAAGGCTAGACCCCCCTCTCCAAAAAGAAGCTTTTAGGGTCCACCCGCATCAGTAATATGTTTATATCTATGTGCATATATTGTATGCTTTGGATGATTTACATGTCTCTATACTGTCCCTGTGCACGCATGTTTATAGGCACATACATATTGATGTGTGTAGATAATGTGTATATTTTTATATTACATTTAGAGATGCCTCATGTATATGCCTATTGCATATTTTTTGATGCTTGTAAGTCCCATGTATATAAAATCTTTATAGTAGTCCATATATTTTTACATCCTAAGCCTATGACTATTGTTGTTTTGGGGCGACACCCATTGGTGCTCAGGGGATAGCTGTTGGGATTGAAACTCCAAACCCTGGCCCCGGGTCCTGGTTTTGGCCTCAGCTAGATTGGATTATACTTGCTGCATGATTCCCTTGTCTTCTGTCCAGGGAACTGGAGAGGGTCACCAGGGAGTGTCCCAACACTCAGGTGAGTCCCTGCCTCTGTGGGGAGAGGCACTTGGCTGCCATGCAGGTAGCCTCAGTCCCACCCCCAGCGATCCCCTCATAGTTCCCAAGGACCACCGGTATGACCCAAAAGGGAAGCAAGGGGCGGAAGTGCCAGTGAATTATACTGAGCAACTAGAACACGGACTTTGCCTGTAGGGGGCCCAGTCCCATGCATAGCCCTCATGATGTCCTGAGCTTGGCTAGGGGCTACCCCCTCTCAGGACTGGCGAGGTAGCACACCTAGCACACAGCTGACCCAGGTTTGATCCCCAGCATCCCCTGTGGTCCCCTGAGTACGAGCCAGGAGTAACCCCTGGGTTTGGCCCAAAACAAATTTGACAAAGCTAGAGGGGCAAGAGCGATTACAGTACGGTGGGTTTGCCTTGCATGCTGCCAACCCAGATTGGCTAACCAGCATCCCATCTAGACCCCAAGTCTGCCAGGAATAGTTTCTGAATGCAGAGCCAGGAGTAACCCCTGAGCAGTGGGGGATATGGTACCCAAAAAGAGGGAGTGAGGGACTGGAACTATAGTACAGTGGGGAAGGTGTTTGCCTTGCATGCCGCCAACCCAGGTTCAATCCCCAGCGTCCCATATGGTCCTCCGATCACCATCAGGAGGGATCCCTGAGTGCAGAGCCAGGAGTCAGCCCTGAGCATCACAGGGTGTGAGCCAAAAAGCAAAAGAAAAAAAGGGGGGGTGGGATGGGCGGGGAACCACACCTCCAGCATTAAGCTGTTGTGGTCCAAAACAAACCCGCTTACACAAAACAAATCAGCTTTGGCTGTTGGTCCTGTTCTTCGAACTAAAGTTGGGTCCTGGGGAATAGGGCGGGGTGAGGGTGGGGTGGGCACACCTAGTGATGCCTTGGGGCTCTTAGCTCAGGGGTGACCTCTGGGGATGCTGAATATGGAACCAGGGTTGGACCACATACGCCACCAGCTCCTTATCCCCTGCGCCTCCATTGCTCTGAGCCCTGGACTCAGGTGAGTCAAGAGGGTAATGGGACAGGACAGTGGACACTCAGGCTGCCCACTCTGTGACGGCATTGGGCACAGTTGCTACAGTCATCTGTACCAGGTTGAAAAACATTCTCCTGGTCATAATGAGGACTTTTTTTTTTTTTTTTTTTGCTTTTTGGGTCACACCTGGCGATGCTCAGGGGTTACTCCTGGCTCTGCACTCAGCATTTATTCCTGGTGGTGCTCGGGGGACCATGTGGGATGCTGGGAATCAAACCCGGGTCAGCCACGTCCAAGGCAGACACCCTACCTGCTCTGCTATCGCTCCAGCCCCACACAATGATGAAGACTTGAGATGGAAGCGGGTAGCCGGGGGGGGGGGGGGGGGGGGGGGAGCAGTGATGGGCAGTGGTGAAGGGCCATTGGAGCGGGCTGGAAGAAGGGAGGGATGAGCTTCAGGCAGTGAGAAGCCCCCACTGTCAGTCAGGGGGTCAGGCTCCCTCCCCCTTGCAGACTCCAGGCTCCCAACATTGAGAGCTGTTCCGAACTTTCTCTATTTTTTGGTCTTTTTGAGTCATAATTGCAATGTTCAGAGGAGTTACTCCCGGATCTGAACTCAGGAATTATTCCGAGTGGTACTTAGGGAACCCTATGGGGTGGCAGGGAATCGAACCCAGGTCACCCGTGTGCAAAGCAAGCACCCTTCCCACTATACTGTCGCTCTAGGCCCAGTTTCAAACTTTCATCCCACAGGGACTGCGGGGGCCAGAGTACGGGAAGGAAGCCACTGGCCTTGCACATGGCCAACCGGGGTTTGATCCCTGAACCCGCCAGGAGTGATCACGGAGCTCTGAGCACAGCTAGTGTGGCCCAAAACAAATTAAAGGTTTCATCCTGGGGCTGGAGAGATAGCACCCGGGTTCGATTCCCAGCATCCCATGTGGTCCCCCAAGCACCGCCAGGAGTAATTCCTGAGTGCATGAGCCAGGAGTAACCCCTGTGCATCGCCAGGCGTGACCCCCCAAAAAAATTAATAAAGGTTTCATCCTGCAGGAAACAGCCTCTGTGCCAAGTGTCCCGGGAAACGTGCCAGCACGTGACCATCGGCCTCTGTGTGTCCTCCCCACTCTCGTCCTACCCCTCGTCCATCCACCCACACTCCCGTCCATCACCCATCCATCTGCCTGTCATCCAACTCATCATCCGTCCATTCAGCCCACATTCCCCGGCACACACATCCCATCTTCATTCTCTCTCTCCGTCATCCACTCGTCTATCCACCTGTCGGGGCCTGCCTGGGCGAGTATTTCTCAAGTGGGACGTTGCAAGAATTAGGAAAAGTGGGGGCTGGAGCGATAGCACAGCGGGCAGAGCGTTTGCCTTGCACGTGACCAACAGGGGTTCGATTCCCAGCATCCCATATAGTCTCCCGAGCATCGCCAGGAAGCCCTGTTCCCTGCATCTCCAACTTTTCTGTTTTGCTTCATTTTCTTTGTGGCTTGTCCCCTGACATGCCCTGGGGCACTTTGTGGCTCTGCTCAGGACTCATCCCTGGCAGTGCTCAGGGAGCCTATGTGTTACTGGGGTTCCGAATCAGGGTTGGCCCCATGCAAGACAAGTACCTCAAGCTCTGTGCTGTCTCCCCCACCCCAGGCTCGTGGCTCTGTGTTCTTCCTCCCAGCCCTCGTCCCTATGCCCAAGTCTACAGATTCTATCATATAATGGGCCTGGAGCCATAGCACAGTGGATAGGGCGTCTGCCTTGCACGTGGCCAACCCAGGTTCGATTCCCCGCATCCCATATGGTCCCCAGAGCACTACCAGGAGTCATCCCTATTATGCATTGCTGGGTGTGACCCCCCCAAAAAAAAAAATAAAACATGGGGCTGGAGCGATAGCACAGCGGGTAGGGCATTTGCCTTGCACGCGGCCAACCCAGGTTCGATTCCCAGCATCCCATATGGTCCCCCGAGCACCACCAGGAGTAATTCCTGAGTTCAGAGCCAGGAATAACCCCTGAGCATCGCTGAGTGTGACCCAAAAAGCAAAAATAAAATAAAAATTGAACTTAAAAAAAAAATTCCATCACGTAAGCGTTTTCCCATCTTGGGCCATCCCTGTGGTCTCCAGGGCTCCTGGCTCTGTGCCTGGCAGTTATTTCTGGTGATGCTGGGGGGTGGGGGGGAGGGACCAGATGGTTCTGGGGCTGAATGTGGGGTTCCTATAGGCAAAACGTGTGCAAGTTATTAAGCTATCTCTGGCATTTGCACACACACATGCACACACTCACATTATATATATATATATATATATATATATATATTTCAGGCCACACCCA